TACTGATTAAAAGCCGAAATTCTGTTACCAACTCAGTCAAATAATTTCCCCAAAATTGGTAACTGAATTTCTGCAATTGAATTGGCTACAATGAGAAATCATAGTAGTCACAAACCACAGTTGGGTCACCTGCTACTGTCCTCCCTTCCACTGGCATACTGCTATGATCAGCTGATAACTGTTTTCTTTCTCTTTCTATCATCTGGTGGTTGAAGAAAGAGTGTAAAACGTCTAGACAACCCCTCCCTCCCTGTCTCTCTCGCTCTCTCCAATTAATGTCATCTCTCCCAGCTCTTACAGACACCTACCAATGAGCCACCTCTTTCCATTTACTGTAACCAGCATCCTCACGCACTAAGCACCAACTGACACTGGACAACCGTGGACGTTGAAAATAAGTTTACATTTGGTCAGTCCGCCCTGGCCTAGATTTCAACGTTCACAGACGTCATTTTTTGTCCGATCCGGACCAGCCTTAATTTCAACGCCCACAGACATCTTGACCGGCCTTCATTTGGCCCAAACATAGACGTCCATGATTGGTTAAGATTTGTCCAGGACCAGACCAAATCTTAACCAATCATAGACTTCTTTGTTTCACAAGTTTGGACAGCACAGTAGAGTACAGTAAATTTAAAGTAGAGTATAGTACTGTACAATGGAGTAGAGTTCAGTACAGTACACAGTAGAGCTCACTAGTTGAGTACACTATAATGTACTCTACTGTATTGAACTATACTCTACTGTTCTGTGCTGTGCTGTACTCTACTGTCCTCCACTGAGCTCTACTGTGCTGTACTTTATGTCCAAACTTGTGAAACATAGACGTCGATGATTGTTTCAGATTTGGTCTGGTCCGGACCAACCAAATATGGTATTGTTTGGGGGCGGAGCTCATTAAAATAATAGCCTCCCGAGTGACGCAGCGGTCTAAGGCACTGCATCGCAGTGCTTGAGGTGTCACTACAGACCCGGGTTCGATCCCAGGCTGTGTCACAACCGGCCGTGACCGGGAGTCCCATAGGGCGGCTCACAATTGGCCCAGCGTCGTCCGGGTTAGGGTAGGGTTTGGCCGGGGGGGCTTTACTTGGCTCATCGTGCTCTAGCGACTCCTTGTTGCGGGCCGGGCGCCAGCAGGCTGACTTCAGTCATCAGTTGAACAGTGTTTCCTCCGACACATTGGTGCAGCTGGCTTCCTGGTTAAGCGGGCGGGTGTTAAGAAGTGCGTTTTGGCGGGTCATGTTTTGGAGGACGCATGACTCGACCTTCGCCTCTCCCGAGCCTGTTGGGGAGTTGCAGTGATGAGACAAGAACGTAATTGGATATCACGAAAAAAATAAAATAATAATAATAATAGCCAGTGTGTAAAGTAATACCCAATTATGCAAAGGAGGATATTGCATATTTCTACCTTTTTGTATACCTATTTAGGATACATAACCATGATGAGAATGACATTCATATCCATAATGATGCATTTCTGTGTAGTACAGACCAGGGACCCATGATGAAATTCAATTACCGCAATTCTGTTAGAGTGTAAATCCAATTCACTTAATGTAGTTCAATAACCAAAAATATTTTTTCAAACTCATGGTTGAAACCCCATTCTTTCTGCAGACATCTTTGAATCTTAATCAGATGAGATTTTACCGAAATTCTATTACCATCTGCATAGTTCTTCCAGTAAATGTGTGTTTGTAAAATGTTCAGTGTAAATTGTTAAAAGTAGTAATTGTGCATAGAGTGAGAAGTAGGGTTGGGCGATATCCAGATTTCCATACCTTAATACCATGCCTGTGCCATCCCGGGATATACGGTATTACTGGTAGTGCACACAAGGGGCACATTTATTTTTTCAAGCGTAAAGAAATACTCAGAAACATCACTTACCAGAATGCTAACAAAATGCTAACAAGTACTAAGGAATTCTCATAGCGGATATAGGTAAATGCTAACAAGCGCATGCAGACATTTACTACTAGGACAGACAACCCAGCTCATAAAGTTATGCCAAGTATCTCAAAACACAGTTTGCAGCATGCACAAAACAAATATTATCTTAATCCAGGAGGGGATTGTCTCTGCTGCTGTTACCAAGAAGCTTGATCTTGCATGCAGAAGTTAGCAAAACCTAGCTGGAAATAATTTATTTGGCACATCTTAGGTAGTTAGCTTAATAGTTATAAGATATATAGCTGGCAAACAGTAGTGAAGTTTATACAAGTGTAACTTGATCACCTCACTTAAGTTACTCTGCAGAGATGACTCACCTCACAAAGCTCCCATTTGGCTTCTTTGTAAACAAACACACGTTACTGGCTCAAACCACTGTTTTGGGAAATTAGTACCGGTAAGCTTCATAATGGAAAAAGCTTCATAATGAAAAATTATCTAACGGGCGAAATGAACGCAATCTGCTTCATCTATTACCTACTTTACATCTGCATAGTTCTTCTGGTAAATGTGTTTTTGTAAAATGTCCAGTGTAAATTGTTAAAAGTAGTAATTGTGCATAGAGTGAGAAGTAGTGTTGGGCAATATCCATATACTAAATTACCCCGGTATACGGTATACCGGCCAAGCCTAGTGAGAAGGAAATGCAAACTTTGCGAGGTGGAATTGAAGTACAGTAATGGTACATGTGTGAAAAATGTATGCACTCACTAACTGTAAATCGCTCTGGATAAGAGCGTCTGCTAAATGACTAAAATGTAATGTGGAATGCTTAACCATCTGAAAGGGATGCACCGTGATACCCAAACCGTTGCTTGCAGCAGCGCAGCTGCATTGTGAATTCACGTGAATTGTATTAATTTTTCTTATCGTTTTAACAGAAAACCGCTAAAAAATATGGCCATTTGTCACGTCCCTGGTCTCAGCGGAATTCATCTACCGTGGAATTGCCCGTAGCAGCTCATTGAGCTCTGTAGCTCTGAGCTCTGTAGCTCAGCTGGTAGAGCATGGCGCTTGTAACGCCAGGGTAGTGGGTTCGATCCCCGGGACCACCCATCTTAATATTTTATTTTTATTAGCCAGTCTGAGATGTGGCTTTTTCTTTGCAACTCTGCCTAGAAGGTCAGCATCCCGGAGTCGCCTCTTCACTGTTGACGTAGAGACTGGTGTTTTGCGGGTACTATTTAATGAAGCTACCAGTTGAGGACCTGTGAGGCGCCTGTTTCTCAAACAAGACACTCTAATGTATTTGTCCTCTTGCTCAGTTGTGCACCGGGGCCTCCCACTTCTCTTTCTATTCTGGTTAGAGACAGTTTGCGCTGTTCTGTGAAGGGAGTAGTACACAGCGTTGTACGAGATCTTCAATTTCTTGCATGGAATAGCCTTCATTTCTCAGAACAAGAATAGACTGACAAGTCTCAGAAGAAAATTATTTGTTTCTGGCCATTTTGATTCTGTAATCGAACCCACAATTGCTGATGCTTCAGATACTCAACTAGTCTCAAGAAGGCCAGTTTTATTGCTTCTTTAATCAGCACAACAGTTTTCAGCTGTGCTAACATAATTGCAAAAGGGTTTTATAATGGTCAATTAGCCTTTTAAAATGTTAAACTTGGATTAGCAAACACAACGTTCCATTGGAACACAGGGCTGATGATTGCTGAGAATGGGCCTCTGTACGCCTATGTAGATATTCCATTAAAAATCAGCCGTTTCTAGCTACAATAGCCATTTACAACATTAACAATGTCTACACTGTATTTCTGATCAATTTGGTATTTTAATGGACAGAAAAATTGCTTTTCTTTCGAAAACAAGGACATTTCTAAGTGACCCCAAACTTTTGAACGGTAGTGTACATATTACCTCAATTACCTCGACTAACCTGTGCCCCCGCACATTGACTCTGTACCGGTACCACCTATATATATATAGCCTCGCTACTGTTATTTTACTGCTGCTCTTTAATAAAACAATTTTTTTGAGTTCTACAATTTTCACTTAACACTTATTTTTCTTAAAACTGCATTGTTGGTTAAGGGCTTGTAAGTAAGCATTTCACTGTAAGGTCTACACTTGTTGTATTCGGCGCATGTGAAAAATACAATGTGATTTATCTTGCATAGCTACGGGAGTGGAATGGTCTCAGCAGAGGTTGGTCAGTGTGCCCAGTCACATAGGCCTGGAGTTTACGGGTGGGGCTAGTCCTTTGAAAATGTAATGTATGCCTGATTTGGCGCACTGGGTAGGCGGGTGACATTTTTCAAAAAGGGAAAACTGCTTACCTGGTGTGCCAAACAAGCTGAATCAAGCTGATGTGCACCTATATTTTAATGCCCGCCTGCCTGGTATTCCTGTTCTGTGGTCAGTGGCGAGAGAGAGGGAAATGGAAGTAGGCTAATGCCAGCAAAATTGTATGACTTCCTTCAAGCAGTAATGAGACTACCCATTGCAATTTACAACTCTCAGGCCACCATTTTTAATCCCAACTAATTCAGCACATGAATTGCCATGTAAGCAATACTAACTAGGGCTGTTGCGGTGACCATATTACTGATAGTCAAATTCCATGTGACCGCTGAGTCATGGTAATCTCCTCCTATTCTGCGCTCTGTACATGAATGGTGCTGATGCGTTGGTAGTACCCAACTTGCTAACGGCCCTCAGGTCGCTAATGGCCTGGGATTCTGTGCTCTATTGTTCCTCTAATCAATCATCAATGCAAATTAAATTGAAAATCACATTAAACACTTCATGACTGAATTTGAAAATCTGAATGATGAGGATAACTGGTGATGGGAGATTTTTTTTAATCAATGGTGGTCTAATTATTTAGGCTGGGTGGGAGTATCATGCTTTTAAAACTCACCGTTACATTGTTTGACATCACTGTGATCAATCAATTTGAAGACATTTCAACAACAGGTTTAAACTTAGTGGAAAACATGGTTGTTGGGATCTTGTTTCAAAGCCAAACATAACCGCAGCCAAGTTCACTCTACTCTACTGAACCTTGTGATATAGTTTTGTGTGCAGGGCAATACATGGCAGCCCGCCGCCTCTACATTGGGCTGGTAGAGGGAGTGAGTGTGGGTTTTGTGGCCTTCAGCCCTCCTCTTGGCCCTACACCACGCTCACGGGTCACAGTGGCTTTGGAGGAAGGCCGCTGCTTAGTGCCGCCACATCCTCTCCTCTGTGTGATGTGGGCAGACTGTAGAGGTCCCTGGTGAGCTCTGTGAGAAACCTCACAACAAAGCAGGAGCAGCCTGCCTTGCACAGCCTGACTGAGTCAACATGTTCACTCACTCACTGGGACGAGTTTGCGCTTGGTCCTTCAAGCCGGACACGATCGAGCTCAAGCAAGCTTCGGCTGACGGACACTGAGGTTGCTCTGCACATTTTGCCTTGGCGCTAATCCTGCATCCTTCCCTCCATTTGGGCAATTTACTGTCTCATATGAATGAGTTGAGTGAACACAGTCACAGAGCATACTAGGAGTAGTACTAGCCCTACAAAGGGAAAGCCAGAGGATTGTGGGTGATGCATGTGCCGTTGAGGATAAATAATCTGTGGTCTGTGTTGGGGGTGAGGGAGAGTTCTCCTCTGAGCCCTTGGCATGGCCTACTTGAGCCACCATGAAGAGGGGCATTCAGAGTATTCCTGTCACAGTGGACCCCCTCAGGACACAGGCAAAGTATTAATATGCCATGAATGGGGACAGACAGACTGTCATTATCTCTCCCCGCGACGACTCGTGAAGCAGTGCACCCTCGAGTGAGTGAGCAAGGAGAAGTTTGCGCTGTCTGTGGAATGGGAGAATACCCAGACATCCTCCTCTCATATTTGCTTGCCTTGCTGGTGTCATTTCATCAAGGCCGTTGGGCTTCTTATCAGCGAGGCTGCTGGCAAGCCGTTCTGACAATCTGAGCTACTCACCCTTGATGAACTAGAGTTGATGGCATTTGGCACGCATGTACCCTTATGAGCTGGTTTGTTTGAGCTGTAGAGGGTGACTCAGTCAAATGTAATTGTAATTCAGTATCTGTATCAACTGCAGAGAATGTAACAGGACGTTAGAGAATTAGTTGAAATCCACTGAGTCTAGTGCTCTGCTCAGATTGATGTTATAAAGTGCAAACAAGACAGGAAGAAGAGGATTGGCAATCGGCGATCAATGTGGGCCTACTTATTATGAGCATAGACTAAACCCAAAGCAGATGGGAACAAGTGGGAGGATCTATCGTACAGCTAAAATGTATTGTGGTTTAGCTGTTTTATTTTCATGATGATATTTTGTGGGTGGATGGACAAGAAATATGAAACAAATGGTAAAATGCCCTTTAAAGATGCACTATGTAGAAATCGCTCTGCCATTTCCTGGTTGCTAAAATTCTAGTAGTTCGCCTAATTTCAGTTTATGTGATTAAACAAGAGATTAATTGTACCATCTAAACCGCTGTGAAATATATTTTCCATAACCAAAAATATTGTATTTTCAGCTGTTTGAAGCTGCTTTACAAAAACAAAAGTAAAAGAGACAAAAACAAAACTTTAAAACGGAAAGCATAGAAATTGCGCACATACAACAGATCTACTGCTTCTTAGACTTGCTTTCAATGAGAATGACCGATCTTTAACTCAAATTTCTATAGAATTGTGTTGGGTCGCCCAAAAAGTTACATATTGCAGCTTTAAGTAGCCTAAATCTCTCACGCTTCTACCCTCCGTTCTATTGGCAAACGTGCAATCACTGGAGAATAAACTGGATGAGCGCTGTTTGAGATTATCCTATCAACCTTTTCTGAAGAACTGTAATATCTTGTGTTTCTCTGAGTCGTGGCTGAACAAGGACATGGTAAATATGAATCTTGCTGGTTTTTTAATAATAATAAGGATGTCTCAAGGTTCTGCTCGCCTGAGTTAGAATAGCTCATGATAAGCTGTAGACCACACTATTATTTTTCGTAGCTGTCTATTTACCACCACAAACCAATGCTGGCACTAAGGCCGCACTCAATTACCTGTATAGGGCCATAAGCAAACAAGAAAATGCTCATCCAGAGGCATCGCTCCTAGTGGCCGGTGACTTTAATGCAGGAAAACTGAAATCCGTTAACCTAATTTCTACCAGCATGTCACCTGTGCAGCTAGAAGCGAAAAAACTCTAGATCACCTTTACTCCACACACAGAGACCCATACAAAGCTCTCCCTCGCCCTCCATTTGACAAATCTGACCATAACGCTATCCTCCTGCTTACAAGCTAAATCTCAAACAGGAAGTACCAGTGACGCGCTCAATATGGAAGTGGTCAGATGAAGCGGATGCTAAGCTACATAACTGTTTCGCTAGCACAGAGTCAAATATGTTCCGTGATTCATCCGATGGCATTGAGGAGTTTTAGGGCTGTCCCCGACAAAAATCAAATATTTGTCAACTGAGAGTCGTCCTGTTCTTTCGACTAAGCGATTGGTCAAAATGTTTAACCTTATTTTTCGATATATAGACAGACACACCCTATGTGTTTGAATAAAATGAACTACATATGCACTGAGCTTGTCTGATGTGTTAAGCACAATGTTTGATTAAATAATTTAGACACAAATGACTCAAGAAAAGACCCGATGGTCACACTGTTAAAAAATTGACAGCGAGTGCCTGTGTGACTGGTGCATGTTGTCTCGCTCTCCTCCCTACTGCAGTGAAAAGGCACCATAGCACAGCAAGTGGTTGTTGCGCTGTCCTGCTGAAGCTGCAACATCATTTCAGCCATTTAGTTTCTTACTTGTTTCTGACTGAAAAGTTCTGTTACCGAAATCCCTGATTTGTTTAGGAAGAACTTTCCCTATTCCCTCAACCCTTGCTGTCTTTACGTGAAACATGTAAGCATTGCATGCATGTGACCAATAGGGCCTGACCTATAGCCTATCATAATCACATCAATAAATTGGTTACTACAAACTCCGAACACAGTAACACGTGACTACAAAATGGATGTGGAGGACGTGAACCTCGAAACAACAAAATGTTTACTGGTTGCTCAGGAGGGAAAGGGGAAGTCAGATCTGTGGAAGACATTTGACTTAGTTGTGGAAACTACTGGAGCTCAAGAAAAAGGAGGGTATAGGAGCAAGCGTTGCATGAGTATTATGTGTGCCAAACGGTTGCTGTTAGAGTACAATATTATTACTTTTTCTGACCATTTGGAACAGTGTAAACAACACTAAATAAATAAGTGTACCAGAGTCTGTTCTAACAAAAAATATTTATACGCTACCGGTCAAACGTTTTAGAACACCTACTCATTCAAGGGATTTTCTTAATTTTTACTGTTTTCTACATTGTAGTATAATAGTGAAGACATCAAAACTATGAAATAACACATATGGAATCATGTAGTAACCAAAAAAGTGTTAAACAAATCAAAATATATTTTATATTTGAGATTCTTCAAATAGCCACCCTTTGCCTTGATGACAGCTTTGTACACTCTTGGCATTCGCTCAACCAGCTTCATGAGGTAGTCACCTGGAATACATTTCAATTAACAGGTGTGCCTTCTTAAAAGTTAATTGTGGAATTTATTTTCTTCTTAATGCATTTGAACTAATCAGTTGTGTTGTGACAAGGTAGGGGTGGTATACAGAAGATAGCCCTATTTGGTAAAAGACCAAGTCCATATTATGGCAAGAACAGCTCAAATAAGCAAAGAGAAACGGCAGTCCATCATTACTTTAAGACATGAAGGTCAGTCAATCCGGAATATTTCAAGAACTTGAACGTTTCTTCAGGTGCAGTCGCAAAAACCATCAAGCGCTATGATGAAACTGGCTCTCATGAGGACCACCACAGGAAAGGAAGACCCAGAGTTACCTCTGCTGCAGAGGATAAGTTCATTAGAGTTACCAGCCTCAGAAATTGCAGCCAAAATAAATGCTTCACAGAGTTCAAGCAACAGACACATCTCAACATCAACTGTTCAGAGGAGACTGCGTGAATCAGGCCTTCATGGTCGAATTGCTGCAAAGAAACCACTACAAAAGGACACCAATAAGAAGAAGAGACTCGCTTGGGACAAGAAACACGAGCAATGCCCATTAGACCGGTGGAAATATGTTCTTTGGTCTGGAGTCCAAATTTGATATTTTTGGTTCCAACCGCCGTGTCTTTGTGTGACGAGGTGTGGGTGAACGGATTATCTCTGCATGTTTATTTCCCCCTGTAAAGCATGGAGGAGGAGGTGTTATGGTGTGGGGGTGCTTTGCTGGTGACACTGTCTGTGATTTATTTAGGATTCAAGGCACACTTAGCCAGCATTCTGCAGCGATACGCCATCCCATCTGGTTTGGGCTTAGTCGGACTATCATTTGTTTTTCAACAGAACAATGACCCAACACACCTCCAGGCTGGGTAAGGGCTATTTTACCAAGAAGGAGAGTGATGGAGTGCTGCATCAGATGACCTGGACAAATTGAGATGGTTTGGGATAAGTCGCACCGCAGAGTTGAAGGAAAAGCAGCTAACAAGTGCTCAGCATATGTGGGAACTCCTTCAAGACTGTTGGAAAAGCATTCCAGGTGAAGCTGGTTGAGAGAATGCCAAGAGTGTGCAAAGCTGTCATCAAGGCAAAGGGTGGCTATTTGAAGAATCTATATCAAATATATTTTGATTTGTTTAATACTTTTTAGGTTACTACCTTTCTTCTTTTTTTTTTTTCTTCTTTCTTTTTTGCAGATGCTCTTACCCAGAGCGACTTACAGTTAGTGCATACATTATTTTTTAATAGTACAAATAAAGAAAAACCCTTGAATGAGTAGGTGTTCTAAAACTTTTGACCGGTAGTGTGTGTGTGTGTGTGTGTGTATGTATGTATATATATATATATATATATATATATGTATGTATATATATATATATATATATATATATATATATATATATATATATATATATATATATATATATATATATATTTTTTTTTTTTTTCTTTTTTTTTTTTTTTTACTAAAATGCTTGATTACATTTCAGAGCATGAATGTCTCATATGCTGTGTGATGGAATGAATGATTGATTGATGATGCAGTAGCCTATATATTGAAATATAGGCGTAAGTTACGGTATTAAGACTCAACAGAATGCGCTCTTAGGCTTACAGCTCGATGGTGGTTATACAAGGCTACTATACAAAGCCTACTAATGATAACGACAATACTTATTATTATAATGATGATCATAATAGTAATTGTAATAATAACAATAAGAAGGAGACCAAGAAAAAGGAGGGTATAGGAGCGAGAGCTGTGTGCATATTACGTGTGACAAACAGGTGCTGTTAGACTACAGTATTATTTTTCTGCCTGTTTGGAACAGTGTGAACACTAAATAAATTATAAGTAATACCAGTCTGTTCTAACGGAAATAAATTGTAAAGCCTTTATTACATTATAGCAATGATTAAAAACAGCCGAATCTGTGAAATTGCTTGATCCAACATTTTGCCGTTGCATGAGGCTTGGTGCTCACGGAATCAGTATGCTGGTTAACTTTGGTAGAGGGTAGGTAAAGGTGCCAATTCTACGGCGCACTGAAGATTATGTTTCATAACTGCGGAGAGCGACCGTATACAACGCGGGAGAAAGCACATTTGTTATAAAATAATATTAGATTTATTAGTGTTGCACCATTATCTTTACATAATATAACCATATACAATTTCATATCACATGACTTAGAGTGATGGACTGTGCCTTCCCCGTGGCCTCCGCAATAGATTAGTCCACTAAAACAGGCGCGAATCAGATGGGTGTCTTGTTCACCATGAAAGAAACAATATATGCAACTGCTCGACTAAAGAAATCTCAGTCGACCAACAATCTATTGATCAAACAATCTACCAGTCGACTAAATGGGTTCAGCCCTAAGGAGTTTACCACATCAGTCACAAGCTTCATTAATAAGGTGAAATAAAAAATAAAATAAAGTGCATCGACAACGTCGGCCACACAGTGACAGTATGTCCATATCCCAACCCGAAGCCATGGATTACAGGCAACATCCGCCCTGAGCTAAAGGCTAGAGCTGCCGCTTTCAAGGAGTGGAAGACTAATCCGGACTCTTATAAGAAATCCTGCTACGCCCTCCGACAAACCTTCAAACAGGCAAAGCGTCAATACAGGACCAAGATCGAGTTCTACTACACTGGCTCTGACACTCGTCGGATGTGGCAGGGCTTGCAAACTATCACAGATTACAAAGGGAAACCCAGCCACGAGCTGTCCAGTGACGCAAGCCTACCAGATGAGCTAAATACCTTCAATGCGCGCTTTGAGGCGAGCAACACTGAACCATGCATGAGAGCACCAGCTGTTCTGGACAACTTTGTGATCACGCTCTCCGTAGCCGATGTGAGTAAGACCTTTTAAACAGGTTAACATTCACAAGGCTGCAGGTCCAGACGGATGACCAGGACGCATACTCCGAGCATGCGCTCCCTGCTATCCAGGACCTCTATACCAGGCAGTGTCAGAGGAAGGCCCTAAAAACTATCAGACTCCAGACACCCAAGTCATATACTTTTCTCTCTGCTACCGCACGGCAAGCAGTACCGATGCACCAGGTCTGTAACCAACAGGACCCGGAACATCTTCTACCCCCAAGCTATAAGACTGCTAAATAGTTAATCCAGGTAGCTATTGGTTAACTATTTAACTATCTGCATTGTCCCTTTTTGCACTAACTCTTTTGACTCATCACATACGCTACTCTTACTGTTTATCTATCCCGTTGCCTAGTCACTGTATCCCTACCTATATGTACAGTGGGGGGAAAAAAGTATTTAGTCAGCCACCAATTGTGCAGGTTCTCCCACTTAAAAAGATGCGCGAGGCCTGTAATTTTCATCATAGGTACACGTCAACTATGACAGACAAATTGAGAATTTTTTTTCCAGAAGATCACATTGTAGGATTTTTAATGAATTTATTTGCAAATTATGGTGGAAAATAAGTATTTGGTCACCTACAAACAAGCAAGATTTCTGGCTCTCACAGACCTGTAACTTCTTCTTTAAGAGGCTCCTCTGTCCTCCACTCGTTACCTGTATTAATGGCACCTGTTTGAACTTGTTATCAGTATAAAAGACACCTACCTGTCCACAACCTCAAACAGTCACACTCCAAACTCCACTATGGCCAAGACCAAAGAGCTGTCAAAGGACACCAGAAACAAAATTGTAGACCTGCACCAGGCTGGGAAGACTGAATCTGCAATAGGTAAGCAGCTTGGTTTGAAGAAATCAACTGTGGGAGCAATTATTAGGAAATGGAAGACATACAAAACCACTGATAATCTCCCTCGATCTGGGGCTCCACGCAAGATCTCACCCCGTGGGGTCAAAATGATCACAAGAACGGTGAGCAAAAATCCCAGAACCACACGGGGGGACCTAGTGAATGACCTGCAGAGAGCTGGGACCAAAGTAACAAAGCCTACCATCAGTAACACACTACGCCGCCAGGGACTCAAATCCTGCAGTGCCAGACGTGTCCCCCTGCTTAAGCCAGTACATGTCCAGGCCCGTCTGAAGTTTGCTAGAGTGCATTTGGATGATCCAGAAGAGGATTGGGAGAATGTCATATGGTCAGATGAAACCAAAATATAACTTTTGTTAAAAACTCAACTCGTCGTGTTTGGAGGACAAAGAATGCTGAGTTGCATCCAAAGAACACCATACCTACTGTGAAGCATGGGGGTGGAAACATCATGCTTTGGGGCTGTTTTTCTGCAAAGGGACCAGGACAACTGATCCGTGTAAAGGAAAGAATGAATGGGGCCATGTATCGTGAGATTTTGAGTGAAAACCTCCTTCCATCAGCAAGGGCATTGAAGATGAAACGTGGCTGGGTCTTTCAGCATGACAATGATCCCAAACACACCGCCCGGGTAACAAAGGAGTGGCTTCGTAAGAAGCATTTCAAGGTCCTGGAGTGGCCTAGCCAGTCTCCAGATCTCAACCCCATAGAAAATCTTTGGAGGGAGTTGAAAGTCCGTGTTGCCCAGCGACAGCCCCAAAACATCACTGCTCTAGAGAAGATCTGCATGGAGGAATGGGCCAAAATACCAGCAACAGTGTGTGAAAACCTTGTGAAGACTTACAGAAAACGTTTGACCTGTGTCATTGCCAACAAAGGGTATATAACAAAGTATTGAGAAACTTTTGTTATTGACCAAATACTTATTTTCCACCATAATTTGCAAATAAATTCATTAAAAATCCTACAATGTGATTTTCTGGATTTTTTTTTCTCATTTTGTCTGTCATAGTTGACGTGTACCTATGATGAAAATTACAGGCCTCTCTCATCTTTTTAAGTGGGAGAACTTGCACAATTGGTGGCTGACTAAATACTTTTTCCCCCCCACTGTAGGCACCACTGTTGCTGTTTATAAGGAGGCACATGAAAATGAATATGTTTTGGCCCATACCCTTCCGCACTTAAACACCTGTGAGTATAATGGTCGCACTGCAGAGCCCTGTGTGACTATTAATGCAGTGACATGAAGGTTAATAAAATGTAAATGTAATAAAGAATGTCCTCCAATGTAGTCATCTTTTAATATATACTTAGTCTCCATTTATGTTAGGGCAGGGATGATACCAGTATCACAATTTTTTTTCCATGGCAAAAATGAAAACACAAAGCAGATTTAACTCTTTGGTCCTTTAAAAACCTGCTGTATGTAAAATATTGTGTGCTTGGAAAATAAATAAATGTGACTCGATGATAACATAATGATGTTTGTTTCCAACATTAGGACTGTTTTCCTAAAGAAGTTAAATCCTCTTTTGTTATGTTTCCTTGCCACGATACTAACTATTATCGCAATACTGGTATCGTCCCTAATTTATGTGGGTCGGAGTCAAAACAGTAGCCCTGTTGAACACCTTGTTAGTCAGTCTTGTAGTAGAAGAACAACATATTACATTTACATTTTAGTCATTTAGCAGACGCTCTTATCCAGAGCGACTTACATGAGCAATTAGGGTTAAGTGCCTTGCTCAAGGGCACATCGACATATTTTTCACATAGTCGGCTCAGGGATTAGAACCAGCGACCTTTCGGTTACTGGCACAACGCTCTTAACCACTAAGCTACCTGCCGCCCCACATATCACTGCCTGAATCGTTTAGCTTCCTAGAAATAGGTTGTTTGATGAGACTGCTCATCTCAGGGGGTTGCTGTGATGAAAATGGAGGATAATGCAGCAAGATATCAAAACATAGGAAGTGAGAAATGGGGCACTTTTGGAAAATGTATGCACATTCTGGCCCAAGTAAACCCAGGTGGAGTAACATTGATAACATGTTTTTAGTTCCTCATGAGCTGGCTAGAACGTTCTAGACAAGGCCTTAATCAATTGGATTTGCCTGTGTGTAACTAGGCCTTAGATATCAGAAGGTTGCGATCCGAAATTAAGCAGTGAGAGGAAGCCACTGTGGACCACGTCTTTGTTCTCTGGGGTAGCAGAATGTCTTGGTCGGGTATGGCTGTCAACAAAGCTTTCGCAACAGGAAACTGGAGAAACTGAGCAAGAGGAGCATTGCACGTTTGCAGTATAGTACAGGGTATCATGGCATACTAGGTTTAGAAGATGTTTGTGTTGTCAAACATGGATTGTTTTGGGTGCTAGGCTATATTTATTATAAGCTTAGAGTGATGAGGCTGAATATTCTCATGTGGATGGATGTGCATGATTCCGAGTCCCTCACATTCTACTGCTACTACAACCAGAGATTGTTCAGTAAGCTTTCTCTACGGTCTCTGCTATAACTAGGCCTATAAGCACTGATGCAGAGAGAGCCATCACTCCAAAGGGTGTTTGTCTCTTACTTGACTATAAAAGAGAGGACTTTGTTGTTGTGTTGAGTGACTGTAGCCTAGGTAGGCCTATGAAGTAGAAACACTTGACTAGTGCCTCTTGAATTAATAATTTCCTCTCTCCACTTAAGTCACTGGGACATGCCTCTCACAGTACCCACACCCCTCTGTGGACACACACACACACGCACACTCTCAGAGAAAGGGTTTGGGGACTGCTTAGGTGGACAAAACACATATAGCCGGGTCCCCATAGACTAATGCACTCAGACCTATAGATCAGACTGGTAGGCTACGCTTGCACACTACACTCACGGACTGCATCCATTGTGGCTACTAGCTCCGGTTAGCATTAGATGGCTTCACCTCACCACCATAAACACCCCGCCCCATAACATGGTGACAGCAGTGAGTCATATTATGCCCAAAAAGGTAATTTAGGCTCCCAGTGTTGCAAAGGCTGATTCATACAAGACAACAGATGCAACCATGCCAAATTTAAACAGGATGCTGTCTAACACAAATGTAATGTTGCTAATGTTAATGGGGGTGGTTGTGTCATAGCTGAATCATTTGGTTATGAGGATGCTTGCTCTGTGGGCCAGGTGAGGGGAGGCTGGGGCATTGGACAGGAAGGGTTCAAGGTTCAGAGGCTGGTTTCGGACGAGCAAGGGGTTTAGGGGACTAGCAGACAGACTGCAGGGGAAGGAAGCAATGTGCTGGGCTCTCACTGTTTTACAACTTTCCTGGAGTCTGAATCAGCTAGGGAGATGGCCTACTTGGGAGGGAGAAAAGCAGGGTTGGACATTTTTCAGTCAGACTTTGCTGCGTTCCATACTTCGTTTCTGCTCGTTAAGTTACTGTGGCAACTTTAAAATGAAGCAAAACACCATTTAAGAAGGAAGGAAATTTGCTCATGACATGCATAATCTACTATATTAAGTGTGTAGGCCTCTTTGTCGGTTGTTTTCCTTTTAGTTCTATCCTGGATTCAGGTCTTCAGTGATTAGTCTGCTTTAAGCGCAAAATCAAGTGAAACACTCGCAATGCACAAGGCCACCCTTTAAATTTAGAAACGCCTCTTCTATATTCTAATAGAGCACAGGGATGAATCCTGATTCCCTGTCCTCGTTTAGAGGTGGAAAACGGCACAAATGAAACATTTACATTATTGTCATTTAGCAGACACTTTTATCCAAAGCGACTTACAGGAGCAGTTAGGGTTAGGCCTAAGTGCCTTATTTAAGGGCACATCGGCAGATTTTTCACTTAGTCGGCTCAGGGATTCGAACTAGCAACCTTTTGGTTACTGGCCCAACGCTCTTAACCACTAGGCTACCTGCCGCCCAGGCGTGCCACAAAGTCATAAACCCCACCCTTATTAAAAAAGATTGCAGTCAGAGTGCAGTATAACTGCAGGACAATACTGCGTCCAAAATAACACTGTTTTTTTTTTTCCTGCAGTAATTTTGCAGTGTAACTGCAATTAGAGTGCAGTATAACTGCAGTTATTCTGCAATTACTGCATCCAAAATACCACAGTCGACTGCAGTTACTGCAGTTTTTCAAAACTGCAGTCGTTTTTTGTAAGGGCAACTATTTGTACATTTTCTCTTCTTAAAATTAGATTTTAAACCTAACTGTCACCTTAACCTTAACCACACCACTAGCCTAAGCCTAACCCTTACCTTAACCCTAACCTTAACCACACCACTAGCCTAAGCCTAACCCTTACCTTAACCCTAACCTTAACCACACCGCTAGCCTATGCCTAACCCTTACCTTAAATTAAGACCAAAAAGCTCATTTTTGTTTTCATGAATTTGTACAATATAGACCATTATGACTTTGTGGCTGTTTTTTATCTAGTGGAATCCCAAATGTAGGCTACAGAGAAAAGCTGTTTGGCTCTCAGACGACTCTCGAATAGGAAGGACTTTGCAGCAGGTGTTTCTGATTAATTAACATTGCCATGCTGGTGGGTGGTAACATTTTAAATAAAACCCAGGCCTGAAATGAAACGTAGGCTGAACTAAATGTGCTCGTCATCTCTTAGGAAAAGACATGTAAGACTCACGGAAACATCCGAAGTCACACATTCGGATTTGGCACTTCAAGCCCAAATATATCATACTTTGACTTATTGATGATGATGTATTGATTTGCATCGTTGTGTAACATCATCGGTAAGCTCTGGCCATCGTCTTTCAGCTCGAAAAAGTTCATTTCTACTGGTGTGGCATTTAATGTCATACATTTGATAGTGGATGAGTAGGCCAACAGGTCCCCATTTGGAAGTGTCCAACTGATGCTTGAACCGTCTCCAGGTTGAAGACCAGGGCTGGGAAATACTGGTCTAAACTAAGAATCACAGCCTATCCCCCTAGATACAAGTGGCACAGTAGCTGTTTTTTACACCCAATTCAGAGGTTCTGGCAGTAAATCCCTGATAACCAGGCGTTGTGTCTGTCTGCAGGCACCCCTGTGCGTGTGTGTGTGTGGCTAGATTGCAATAAAGAGAGCCAGACGGGCTGGATTATTCCTGGGTCAGGACCACGGGATTAGGCCAGGGATTATCACAGCTCAGTCAGTGAGACCGCACCCAGTGGACTGGTGGTATTACATCAGACAGTCAGCCCACCCTGCCTGCTCTCTAGGCCCTTCCCTACACACACATTTCAAATGAATCCTTTTCATTGTTGTTCGAGGTGAGCCCCACTGCAGTCAATGCAGAAAGCTATTACACAATAAAGACAATTTTGCCAAGTCCGTGTCCAAGTCCAAAATCTGAAAAAGTTGTCTCAATCCCGATTTGGGGGTCCTTCGCAGTCCCTAACTTCTCGATTTATTCCCAGAACTCGGGTAACTATGTCCCGTCTTGCACATAGGGCCAAGCCCAAGTTGAAATGCATACATAAAATGCTTGTTTCCCAGATTCAGTTCCCTTCACCGTGTCCCACTATGGTAATTTATTATTAATGTTACGGAGCAACACCTGGATACGAGACACATCCAGAACGAGAGAGAGAGTGTGACGGGGATTTAGCACACAGGGCTTCTATGTGCATCTGATGGCTCAGTTGGTTGGAGCATGGTGTTGGCAACAATGGGTTTGTGGGTTTGATTCCCACATGGGTCATAGTAGGGTTGGGCGATATGGCCTAAAAATCGTATCTTTTTTAAATGTATTTATTTGTTTTGGGGCTATTCACGATATATACACGACATAGCCAAAAGTATGTGCTGCTCGTCGAACATCTCATTCCAAAATTATGGGCATTCAAATGGAGTTGGTCCCCCCTTTGCTGCTGTAACAGCATCCACTCTTCTGGAAAAGTATTTCTACTAGATGTTGGAACATTGCTGCGGGAACTTGCTTCTATTCAGCCACAAGAGCATTAGTGAGGTCGGGCACTGATGTTGGGTGATTAGGCCTGGCTCGCAGTCGGCGTTCCTATTCAGGATTGAGGTCAGGGCTCTGTGCAGGCCAGTCAAGTTTTTCCACACCTATCTCGACAAACCATTTCTGTATGGACCTCACTTTGTGCACTGGGGCATTGTCATGCTGAAACAGGAAAGGGCCTTCACCAAACTGTTGCCACAAAGTTGGAAGCACAGAATCGTCTAAATTATATAGCGTTAAAATGTCCCTTCACTGGAACTAAGGGGCCTAGCCCGAACCATGAAAAACAGCCCCAGACCATTATTTTTCCTCCACCAAACTTTACAGTTGGCACTATGCATTCGGGCAGGTAGCGTTCTCCTGGCATCCTCCAAACCCAGATTCGTCCGTTGGACTGCCAGATGGTGAAGCGTGATTCAACACTCCAGAGAACGTGTTTCCACTGCTCCAGAGTCTAATGGTGGCAAGCTTTACACCCCTCCAGCCAACGCTTAGCATTGCGCCTGGTAGTCTTAGGCTTGTGTGCAGCTGCTCGCCCATGGAAACCCATTTCATGAAGCTCCCGACAAACAGTTATTGTGCTGACGAATGCTTCCAGAGGCAGTTCAGAACTCGGTAGTGAGTGTTGCAACCAAGGACAGAAGATTTTTACGTGCTTCAGCACTCGGCGGTCCCTTTCTGTGAGCTTGTATATGTTAAACTAACTGTAAGTCACATTGGGAAAAAGCTGCAGCTAAGTAAGCAGGTAAAATAAATGATGAGTTTATGCAGGCATTGTTTGATAACCTAACCGCAGAATATGTAGCGCATTCAGAGTTGTTGTGTTTTAAACTGAGGAGATGGTCAGATATTTGGGGGATAAATCACCACCTAGCAAGTTTGGGATCAGTCAATCCTTCTGGGAAAAATATGTTACCTTGACCATCCCTGAATGAACAGTCATCCTCCAATTTTTATGAAGTATTATAATTTTGATGTAAGAATTGTCTCAACATGCAAACGAATAATACAAAAGTAGTGAAACTAACAAGTGAACTATTTCTGAGTGTCTCTTTAAGATTCTAACAGTGTCTTCCTTTCTGTTTGGATCCAGGACTACACTGTGCGAATGAGTGATTGATGCCAACTTCGCTTCTTAAGGTAAGAGATCAACTCCTTGATCCACTTAAATCATGATTGTAAATGCATTTAAGAAGTTTTATATTTACTTGTACAAAAAAAAAGATTAGGCCCCCCCAAGAAATGTAAGCACCCACATTTAGTTGGATTATTCTGTAACAGTGATCACCCAGGATTAGGATTAGCCTAGGCCTCCAGTTACAAGTACAACACATCTGGATTAATAATCCAATCATCTGTTTGCACTGTGTAAGGGTCATTTTGTTGGTTGTCACTCAGTAATAAGGCATGTGTTCCGGTTCTCCCAGGGCAGTATGGGTGTGTGTCCCCTGCTCCTGCTGCTCAGTGTGGCCCTCGGGGTCTCTGTCTCGGCCCAGAGACCACCTCCCACCCCCACAGGTAAGAAGGACCCACATGACATCATCACCTGAACAGCCGGATCCCACCACTGACACCATTTGACATATTCAACGCTATTGTTCAAAATACTTCTTTGTATCACTGCAACTCTCCTGAAGCTGCAGTTGAGGCAAAATGACTCAACAGAAATAGCCGAAATAAAACAAATCTCTCTCTCTCTCTCTCTCTCTCTCTCTCTCTCGCTCTCTCTCTCGCTCTCTCTCTCTCTCTCTCGCTCTCTCTCTCTCTCTCTCTCTCACACCTTACCTTTCATCCCTAGGAGGTCCAGTCCCCACTGCCAAACCTAAGGAACCTTCAGCCACCACCCTCCTCAATGTTCCCTTGACAACAACAACAACCACCACCACCCCTCTTCCTCCCCCTCCAACAACCACAGCCCCGAAGGTTGCCGTGACGACAATGACAACTACCACAACCGTGGAGGGGGTCATATTGACAGCAGGCCCCAGTGGTGCCACACCTATGCCCGCCCCCCCTCCACCACCCCCTGGCCCAACTGAAGCCCCACAAGTCCCCACGGGGGTGACCCCCACCCTGCAGCCACCCCCTGCTCCGACCACAGTCAGTCAGGGAGGGGGAGGGGAGAATGGGACCACACCCTCTGTTCAAGAGACTCAGTCACCAGACAATGCCACCAACACAGACACAAAACCGACGGTGGAAGCAACGTCAGCCACTAGCAGTGCTACTGTTCCAGGTGTGTGTCTGTGTGTTTATTGTATGTTGGTGTCTGGTGGAGTGTGTGTGAAAGTCAAGAAGTTAAGTGTTGTGGGGGGTTGTGGTGTATGGTTTTTTAGGTTTGATAGTAATGAGACTCTTGTTTTATCCTCCTCAGGTGGTGGAGAAGAAGACACCGGTAAGACTGTGTGTGCGTGTGTGAGGTGTTGATGTCTGGAGTTACAACGGTATGCCAAACGGTCATACAACCGTACTGACATTAGCACAATATAACAGATAAGTCATAAGCAGTCTTGGCAGTGATGTGCCAATAATTGAACTGTCGAACACACACAGTATTCAAGTCCTCCATTATCTCTCCTCTGTCTGTGGTTTCTGTCCATCCTCTATGCCCACGGTATGAGACATTGAAATGGAATGGTCCGAATAGTCCCCCTTCTCTACTCATCAGTTTCAATTACCTTCCTAACAACGTGGTGCAGCACCATTCAATGTGTACATTGTCCCTCAGAGAACACTGAAAATTCCACTGAAAAATGAACAACAATTAGCTGAAATAGCCAAGATGTCAGTCTGAACAACATGAAATCAAATGTGGCCCCCGTGTGGCTCAGTTGGTAAGAGTGGCTTAGTGCTAGCAATGCCAGGGTTTAGGGTTCGATTCCCACTGGGATCACAATCACTTGCTGTTGCTTTTATCCAAAGTATGCTAAATGGTATATAATACTTATTATTATTATTATTATTATTATTATTATTATTATTATTATGTTGCTTGGATTGGGACAGACTATATCTATAGCCTGTGTTTATATTGTAATCTATGATTGGCAATCCTTATCTATTTGGTTAACCCCTCTGCTTCTATAAAGTCGTGTCATTGTTTGGGTCATGATGACTGTAATCCAGATGCAAAAGCTGCTCTGTAACGATGGTTAATGACATCTCTGTACTGACGGTTAACCCCCTAAGGTCGATGTCCGCGCTCCCGTGGAAATCTAACTAGCATAATAAAAAATAGGATGCGTTTCAATCCACCTTATCCGCCGATGTAACACTGCCGCATCTGCGGTGAAAGGTGACAGAGCTAGAGCAGTGTTTGTCAGACCATGAGACACCCCGAAAATCGGTCTTCTCACAAAATCGTCTGTAGTGTCCAAATGGTTTGGCCTACAAACTATTATGAACCCTCTATGGAAAGATGAGACTCTCACGTTTTGCTCTACGACCCCCCACAAGCATCTTGGGTCTTGTCTGAAGTCGGTACAGCCAATCTGCAAACTTCTGTCTGTAGTGTCCGAACAGTTTGGTCTTCACACTAATATGACCCCTCTGTGTAAAGGTGAGACTCTCCCGAACAGGTACATGTTTTGCTCTAGGACACCCACAGGCCTCACAAGACTTGTCTATCTGTAGTGAATCTTTTATTCAATGCGTTTGTATGGGCTAATAGCAGTAAGGCCCAAAAAAAATGTATCCATCAAATCATTTTTGGTATATTTATTTGATACTTCAAAGGGTTGTAGGTTCGTTTCCCACGGGGGGCCAGGGGGGCCAGTATGAAAATGTATGCACTCACTAACTGACTTAAATGTAAATGTAAGCTGATTTGTGCACTTGATCAAGCTTGCTTAGCGCAGTGTGCCAACCCAAACCCAATTTGGCACTCCAGACAGGCTCAATCAAATGCCAAATCAGTCAAATACAGTTTGGACCCATGTCTGATGCGTACTGGGAACATATGTTAAACTTAGTTTCAGTGCCTGACACCAGCCTCCTGTCTTGTAGCCTATCATGTGTAAGATTGACTCTGCCTGCAATTAAATAGTGATGTATCCACACTGAAGGACTGTGTCCACGTGTACACTCAGCACGGCAATTTTTCTTAGAGAGCAAATCAAATATTAACACGTCAGGCACTTCCACCATCTTGCTTTTGTTGGAATCCCAGTGCTGGCGGGAAAATGTAGGCTAGTGAACCGGCAACCAGGGGGCTTCTGGTATCTCTTGTGCCCCACCGCCAACTACTGCCATTGTGCCCTTGTGCAAGGCAGAGTGCTCCAGGGGCGCTGCTCTGACGCTGACCCTGTGCTGCTCCCAGCCTGTGGTGTGTTTGTGTGGTGGGTCTTGTAATGTGACCGACAAAAGACAAGTAGTCATTGTAAAATGGATAGATACACTTTTAAAATATGTTGTGAATTATCTCTCTCCTGTCTCTCTCAGATGACACGCCCATCATCGCGGTGATGGTGGCTCTGTCGTCCCTGCTCGTCATCATCTTCATCATCATCATCCTCTATATGCTGAGGTCAGTCATACTCGCTCAGGTAGAAACCACCCACACCACTAACCCCGATCCACACCACTAACCCCGATCCACACCACTAACCCTGACCCACACAACTAACCCTGACCCACACCACTAACCCTGACCCACACCACTAACCCTGACCCACACCACTAACCCTGACCCACACCACTAACCCTGACCCACACCACTAACCCCGACCCACACCACTAACCCCGACCCACACCACTAACCCCGATCCACACCACTAACCCTGACCCACACCACTAACCCTGACCCACACCACTAACCCTGACCCACACCACTAACCCTGACCCACACCACTAACCCCGACCCACACCACTAACCCCGACCCACACCACTAACCCTGACCCACACCACTAACCCCGACCCACACCACTAACCCCGACCCACACCACTACTCCTAACCCTAACCCACACCACTAACCCCAACCCACACCACTAACCTTAACCCCAACCCAACCCACACCACTAACCTTAACCCCAATCCACACCACTCACCTCAACCCACACCACTCACCCTAACCCCAACCCACACCACTCACCCCAACCCACACCACTCACCCTTACTCACACCACTCACCCTAACCCACACCAGTAACCCTAACCCACAACACTCTCCTGGCTCCTGTTCAGTAGGGCACACCGTAGCAAAACAATTTGCAACAAAGTGAAAATTGCATGAGTTCAGCTAGTACCTTGGCTAAATTCAGCTAGTACCTTGGCTAAGGTCAGCTAGAACCTGTCCTTTTCAAAAGTGTTCTCCCTACTGAACACATCCATGGGGTGGATTCCCTGAAAGCGTTGTGGCTAAAATGACAACCATGCCCCACAGCAGTGAGAGAGTCAGAATTGTAAAATCTTACGTTTGACAGTCAATCTTCTTAGCTTGAAGCGAGCGAAGTTCGCAAAATTAAGCCCTTTGCTGTTCTGCCAGGGGCCTGGGTCTATACTCTACGTCAGAGTGAGAAATAGTGCCACATTAGCTACGAAGCTTTAGAGGAACTCGCCCCAGGGTCGTGTTCATCAGCCACCAAACAGAAGAAAACGGACTGACACAGGGAGGGGCTACCTGAACTTGTCCATGAAGAAACACATACTACGTTTTGCTATGGTGCGCCCTAATGAATACAACCCTGGTTTTCTGCCCGACAGTAGCAGCTTCAGCCTGATGTCTCAGGCTGGCATATTTCAACTGAAAAGAAAAGTGTGTAGAGCTATACAATACTGAGACATGAGACCCGCGTAAAACACTAACTGTCTTGTACACCCAAAACTACTCCCACAATTCATTAAAGTTTTTCGAAGCGCAGAGCAGGAAATGGCTTGCTCGTCACCTTTCATACGGTCACACCATATTGAGGACAGTATTGATTAACCAAGTGTTACAGAAGTTACCATGGCAATGGCCGTGTGTGTCATTCTGGATATATTTATTCATGCATGCGTGTGATTGACAGGTTTAAGAAGTACAAGCAGGCCGGCAGCCATTCCAACTCCTTCAGGCTGACCAACGGTAGATCAGATGATACAGGTAAAATCACTGTGTGTGAACACATGTTTTGCCTGTGGTCGTACACTTACAGGGACTTGTAATGTATATCATAGCCAACTTTCTGCATTGTTCTCTGTTTCGATAAGATCACATTGGTTTTGTGGTCATTTACTGGGTCTCGGCCTATACTGTTGTTTCATGTATTGACTTGTGGCTCAATAGCAGTGTTGGATTGGTTTACGGCGCCCCCTTGTGGGCTTTTGTTACAGAACAGACAGTCAGTTTGGTGATGTTGTGCGTGTAGATTGGAATGTAATGTTTAGGACATGTAATATATAATACATTTTCTGTAGTGCATTGATTTAGTTTATAATCGTTGGTTGGTGAATGTGTCACTATCTGGCTCTTACAACAGCTTTTTGTAATTGTTTTTTACTGTAACAATTGTTAATAAATACTATTTATATAGTGTATATAAATAATTGTTTTTGTATAATTTATTGTAGGCAGTGTCACAACAATAAGGGTGTCTGTCTCTGTCTATCTCCTGTGGAACTCTATCTCTACCCATCTTTCCCCTCCCTTTCCTTCCCTCCTCTCTTTCTTCTCCATCTTCCCTGCTTCCTGCTCTCGCAGAGCTCCAGAGTGTGCCACTATTGGCCCGCTCACCCAGCACCAACAGGAAGTACCCTCCCCTTGTTGTCGACAAGCTGGAGGAGGAGATGAATCGTCGCATGGCTGACGACAACAAGCTCTTCCGGGAGGAGTTCAACGTATGGAGTCCCTATGCACGCACACACAAATGTGTGTGTGTGTGTGTGTGTATATTATATGCATACTCGCGCGCACACATTTACACACACACACACACACACACACACACTTTAGTAATCTATGGGCCACATCAGGACAATGGGCAGGTTGTACTTGCATCTACAACCCTCTGTGTTTGTGTGATTCTAGCTACTGACTCAGATTGGAGTGGGATCCTATCTTACACAGCCTATGTCTGTGTCCCAATACTTCCTAATTCCCTTCCCTTAGCGTTCTTTCCTTATTTGCTTTATTTCCGTGTTCAGCGGGGCTGCTTTTGGAAAGAATAATATCCCCAATAGAAACATGCATCTCTGGTATTCAGCTAATATCAGTGTTACCTGTCTGTGTGTCTGATGGCTCGCTGTGTGTCCAGGCGCTGCCGGTGTGTCCCATCCAGGCGTCGTGCGACGCGGCCTCTAAGGAGGAGAACAAGGAGAAGAACCGATACGTCAACATCCTGCCATGTGAGTCCCTAAAGCCTGATTCCCCCTTTGGGACCAAACTGTACTGTGCTGGCTTGTATGTTTCCTTTCCAGCACTGTTCCCGCATCTATGGCGGATGCGTAACCACGGCAGTATAGCTCGGCTTGGATCGGTTTCGGCCCGATAGTCTGAATCGGGCACTAGTCTGTCAAACTACTCTTCCTGGAACAGACTTTAAAGGAGCTACATGTAACATTTTAGGCATACATTTGATTTCTTCATGTTTTTTTGATGGACACTGCTTAATAACACCTAACATGGCATAGTGGCTTCTTACCATTTGCAAAGACGTAATACGTTTTGCATTGCTAATGTTTTTGCTATGTTGTCAACCTTCCAAACGAGAACCAATTGTAATTCAGGAAGTCGTATACAACAGCTGGACCGGCTAGTCGCAGTAAAAAAAAAAAAAAAAAAAGAATTAGCAGCGTCAAGCGGCGTTCTGAAAAGTATGTTTTTACTCTCGTGGATTTCTATTATTTTGCTACTATTGGTATGTAATTGGCATTTGGCACTAGATGTAAATGTTGCATGTAGCTCCTTTAAAACAGGCTGGCGTTTCAGCTAATCAAGGTTCTGTTGTGTTTCAGATGATCACTCCAGGGTGCATTTGTCATCACTAGAGGGAGTTCCAGACTCCGACTTCATCAACGCATCCTTTATCAACGTGAGTGACGCCACAAGCCATCGACATCAATGACAGGCTCTGTGTATTTTTTTTTTTTTTATTAGCTACCCCTTGGCCAGGTCTCCCTTGTGAAAGAGGTCTTCTGACCTTAATTGAACTTCTTGGTTAGATAAATAAATAAAAGGTTGCGTTAGAATAATGCAGTCTTTTTCATCACTCTCTCTCCCTCCCTCCCTCCCTCCCTCTGTCTATTTCATTTGTAGAACGCAGGTCCCACGCTAAATGACCATGAAGTAGAAACAACATCAATACATCAAAAAGTAGAGAAACATCGATGATACATCAGAACATTACCTAACAATGCAAGACATGGTCATTAAACCCGTTCAGCGATCAAATGTTTTTCTCACACTCTTCCTCTTCTGCCTTCCTCTTGTTCACAGGGGTACCAAGAGAAAAACAAGTTCATTGCAGCTCAAGGTAAAGCGGCTACTCTAGCCACAGGGGTAGGCTGATGTGATGAAATGCCATGAGCCATCTTGTCTTCGTCCCAAATGGCACCGTGTTCTTTATGTAGTGCACTACTTTTGACCAGAGCCCTATGGGTCCTGGTGCAAACGCAGTGCACTACATAGGGAATAGGGTGCCATTTGGGATGAAGACTTGAATGTCAATACGACCCATCTCTTGGTTCAATTCAATCCGTTGAGCTTTATTGCCATGTTAATATGACATCAGATTATATTGCCTAAGCAAACATACAATAACTTATTAAATCAATGATGATAATATACAGTAGATTATAATATCTCTTCTGTCTCTCTCTCTCTGTCTCTCTCTCTCTCAGGGCCAAAGGAGGAGACGGTGAACGACTTCTGGAGAATGGTCTGGGAACAGAACACAGCCACCATCGTCATGGTGACCAACCTGAAGGAAAGAAAAGAGGTAGGGGAGGAGGAGGTGGAAAAAGCGGGGGAGGGGTGACAACAGGGGTGTGTTCAGCAAGGTGGAACGTTCAGAATTTTGCAGATAGAAAGTATATTAAAACAATTGACACGACTGCCTACTCAACATGAAATGCATTTAAAACATCTGTTCTTCACAGTACAAAATCTATTGTAATGTTCCACCCTCCTGAACAGACCCCTACTAACTAGGTCTTTCATAGTAGTTGCTATATGACGATGATTGGGTATGTTCAGCATTTCAAATTTGCAATGTGAAAAGGCATATGAGTGTACGACTATGAGTGTTTGTTTCTTTTCATTTGAAAGAAATCCACACAGCGGCAATCTCTCTGTGTGTCTCAGTGTAAGTGTGCCCAGTACTGGCCAGACCAGGGCTGCTGGACCTACGGCAACATCCGGGTCTCTGTGGAGGACATGATGGTGCTGGTGGACTACACCATCCGCAAGTTCTGCATCCAACAGGTACCCTGCTCTTCTCTTCCTCTCTCCTTCTCCTGTCTTCTCTGGACATTCTTTCCTCTCTCCTCTTTATCCTCAGGGACTGTTCTCTCTCCTCTTTATCCTCAGGGACTGTTCTCTCTCCTCTTTATCCTCAGGGACTGTTCTCTCTCCTCTTTATCCTCAGGGACTGTTCTCTCTCCTCTTTATCCTCAGGGACTGTTCTCTCTCCTCTTTATCCTCAGGGACTGTTCTCTCTCCTCTTTATCCTCAGGGACTGTTCTCTCTCCTCTTTATCCTCAGGGACTGTTCTCTCTCCGCTTTATCCTCAGGGACTGTCCTCTCTCCTCTTTATCCTCAGGGACTGTCCTCTCTTTATCCTCAGGGACTGTCCTCTCTTTATCCTCAGGGACTGTCCTCTCTCCTCCCTTTTTCTTGTCTTGTTTTCTCCTCTCACCACACCATCTATCAAACCCATGTGATGTGGATGGACACCAAGCATTCACTAATCAACAACACTATTTATGGTTATTCTTAGCAGCTCTACAGGTTTGGTACACTGATGGCAAAGCTCATGTGAAAATGTAAAAACAAAAATCATTTGAAGATAACATTAGGCTTGAATAATACTCCAAATCAGTTAGACTAATGGTGTCTCTGTCTCTACTCCTACCCCCCCTTCTCTCTCACTCATTCACTCACTCACTCTCTCACTCTCACTCTCTCATATATATATATATATATATATATATATATATATATATAGATATATATATATGATATATATATATATATATATATATATATATATATATATATATATATATATATATATATATAGGTGGGGGATGTGGGGGGTAAGAAGCCCCAGCGGCTTGTGACCCAGTTCCACTTCACCAGCTGGCCAGACTTCGGCGTCCCCTTCACACCCATCGGCATGCTCAAGTTCCTCAAGAAGGTCAAGACCTGCAACCCCCAGTACGCCGGCCCCATCGTGGTCCACTGCAGGTCAGTGAGTGTGTTATTGGTGGAGGTGGTCCGGTGACGCATAGATGCCAAGCTAATGCTTAAGCTTGGTGGGCTAACACGACCTAGGTTCAGTCACATACAACGTACTATCTTTATGTGCGTGCTCTTTTCTGACTCTCTCTGTCTGTCTGTGTGTCAGTGCTGGGGTGGGGAGGACAGGTACCTTCATAGTGATAGACGCCATGTTGGATATGATGAACACCGAGAGAAAGGTGGACGTGTTTGGCTTTGTCACACGTATCAGAGCCCAGCGCTGCCAAATGGTCCAGACAGACGTAAGTTGAACTGACCGCAACAAGAACTAACCACAACATTACCCTGACCCAAACCAGTACTCATTATTACCCTGAGCCAAACAAGACCACAACAGTACTCTCACTGCAAGAAGACCACTTAACATTATTACCCTGACCTGACTAAGACCACATTACCCTGACCTGAATAAGATCACACACTCATATCATTATACTATATGAACAGGTTTCCATTCAAATCTCAATACTGGGAGTGTTCAGGGTATGTGGTAATTACCCATTAATGTTGTGTTGTCATCTGACTCCTCTTGTGGATGTATGATATGGGCATCACAAGTGCACTAAAAGTGTTACCAATTTCTCTCTCTCCCCCCTCTCTATCCCCCATAACTCTCTCTCCTCCCCCCTCTCTCTCCCCCCTCTCTCTCTTCTCTCCCCTCTCGCTCTCTTCTCCCCCCGCTCTCTCTCCTCCACCCTCTCCTCCCCCACTCTCCCTCTCCTCCCCCCTCTCTCCACCCTCTCTCTCTCTCCTCCCCCATCCCCCCCTCCCTCTCTCCCCCCCTCCCTTCTCTCTCTCTCCCCCTCCCCTCTCTCTATCCCCCCCTCCCTCTCTCCACAGATGCAATACGTGTTCATCTTCCAGGCCATGCTGGAGCACTATCTGTACGGGGACACTGAGCTGGAGGTGACCTCCCTGGAGTCCCACCTGGCCAAGCTCTATGCCCCCTCCACCGCCGCCGGCTGTGGGGGCATGGAAGCGGAGTTCAAGGTGATTTAATTTGCTTGGTACAATGGAACTAATGGAATAGTCCCAAAAGTGCAAAGCACAAGCTTAAGCAAGCTCACTTCACCTACGCTTAAATGTTTGATAGCCTATCTGTTTGACTCTGGGTCGTATTCATTTGGCACCAAGCGGAAGAAGTTGATGCATTGAAATTGAAACAGGGAGGGACTAACTGAAAATGCTTGTTTTTGTTTTCCTTGCAACATGTTTTGCTTTGGTGTGAACTAATGAATATGACCCAGGTCTAAACCATTGAAGTAGCACTCTGAGAGCTAAGTTGTTAGTTGTTTTAGAGCCTGTGGTTTTGTCTCCCCACACAGAAGCTGACTTCCATCAAAATCCAGAACGACAAGATGAGGACAGGCAACCTGCCGGCTAACATGAAGAAGAACAGAGTTCTCCAGATCATCCCATGTGAGTGACGGCTCCAAACCTTGCCTGAGACCTGAAAACTTGTGTTAGCTCCCTGAGCTAATGCCTAGGCTTTAGCTCAGCAGATTAACGCAGACTGGTGTTCAAACCAAGTCGGTCACATAACTCCATGTAATGTAACCTGTTTATTGGGGTCTCGTAGATGAGTTCAACAGAGTGATCATCCCAGTCAAGAGAGGGGAGGAGAACACGGACTATGTCAACGCCTCCTTCATTGACGTGAGTAGATGGAACCACTGTCAAACCCAACACCTGACTATGGCTCACTTCACCTGTGTTAGGAGTGTTTTTAAAAACGTTAGCACAGATACAAGTTCGTCTTCACATAAAAGGTGAAAAGATGGTCCTGTGTAGCTCAGTTGGTAGAGCATGGCGCTTGCAACGCCAGGGTTGTGGGTTTGATTCCCACGGGGGACCAGTACGAAAATGTATGCACTCACTACTGTAAGTCGCTCTGGATAAGAGTGTCTCCTAAATGACTAAAATGTGAATGTAAGGAGATTCCTATCAGGAGATGTGGGAGTGATGATAGAGTAGAGACCCTTGGTAAGGGTAGACCCCTAGTGTACAAAAACAAGTGAAAACATCCAACATAGGAGATGAGTCTAATACAGGCAGAAATTGATCCTACAGTGGTTGTTGTGTGTATGTCTAAGCTGGCGCGTGTGTGTGTGTGTGTGTGTGTATATGTATGTGTGTGTGTGTGAACACACCTAACCTCTGTGTATCTCTACCTGTGTCTGGTGCAGGGCTACCGTCAGAAGGACTCGTACATGGCCAGCCAGGGCCCGCTGCGGCACACCATCGAAGACTTCTGGAGGATGATCTGGGAGTGGAGGAGCTGCTCCATAGTCATGCTCACTGAGCTGGAGGAGAGAGGACAGGTAGAGAGGGATGGAGGGAGTAGATAGATAGGACAGGTAGAGAGGGATGGAGGGAGTAAATAATAGGCACATTAGAGATGGATTGAGTGAGTAGATCGATAGGACAGGTCGAGAGGGGCTGGGGGAGTAAATATATAGGCAGGTAGGAGGGATGGAGGGGTATATAGGAACAGGTAGAGAGGGATTGAGGGAGTGAGTAGAGGAACAGGTAAGAGGGATTGAGATAGATAAGAGGACATGTAGAGAGGGATGGAGGGAGTAGATAATAGGACAGGTAGAGAGTAGGAGGGGATGGAGGGGTAGAGAGGGATAGGGAGAGATAGAGAGGACGGGGAGAGGAGGAGGAGAGAGGGAGATAGATAGATAGGACAGGTAGAGAGGGATGGAGGGAGAGTAGAGTAGATAGATAGGACAGAGAGAGGGATGGAGGGAGTAGGAGAAGGTGAGAGAGGGATTGAGGGAGTAGATAGAGAGGCAGGTAGCGAGGGAGTAGATAGAAGGACAGGTAGAGAGGGGTGGAGGGGAGTAGATAGAGGACAGGTAGAGAGGGATGGAGGGGTAATAGATAGACAGGTAGAGAGGGATGGAGGGAGTAGATAGAGAGGACAGGTAGAGAGGGATGGAGGGAGGGAGTAGATAGAGAGGACAGGTAGAGAGGGATGGAGGGAGTAGGATAGAGAGGACAGGTAGGGAGAGGGGATGGAGGGTAGTAGGGGTGAGAGGATAGACAGGTAGAGAGGGATGGAGGGGTAGTAGATAGATAGGACAGGTAGAGAGGGATGGAGGGAGTAGATAGGACAGGTAGAGAGGGATGGAGGGGATAGAGTAGGACAGGTTAGAGAGGGATGGAGGGAGAAGTTAGGATAGAGGGACAGGTAGAGAGGGATGGAGAGGAGAGAAGTAGATAGATAGGACAGGTAAGAGGGGATGGAGGAGTAGTAAGAGTAGATAGGACAGGTAGAGGGGGATGGAGGGAGTAGATAGGACAGGTGAGAGAGGGATGGAGGGAGTAGGAGAGGACAGGTTAGAGAGGGATTGAGGGGTAGATAGAGAGGACAGGTAGGGGAGGGGAGGAGGGAAGTAGATGATGGACAGGGTAGAGGGGATGGAGGGAGTAGGATAGGGAAGGTAGTAGAGAGGGATGAGGGAGTAGATAGATAAAAGGGCAGGTAGAGAGGGATGGAGGGAAGTAGATAGGGACAGGTAGAGAGGGATGGAGGGAGTAGATAGATAGGACAGGTAGAGAGGGATGGAGGGAGTAGATAGATAGGACAGGTAGAGAGGGATGGAGGGAGTAGATAGAGAGGACAGGTAGAGAGGGATGAGGGAGTAGATAGAGAGGACAGGTAGAGAGGGATGGAGGGAGTAGGATAGAGGACAGGTAGAGAGGGATGGAGGGAGTAGATAGAGAGGACAGGTAGAGAGGGATGGAGGGAGTAGATAGATAGGACAGGTAGAGAGGGATGGAGGGAGTAGATAGAGAGGACAGGTAGAGAGGATGGAGGGAGTAGATAGAGAGGACAGGTAGAGAGGGAGGAGGGAGTAGGTAGATAGGACAGGTAGAGAGGGATGGGGGAGTAGTAGATAGGAAAGGAAAGGTAGAGGGGATGGAGGGAGTAGATAGATAGGACAGGTAGAGAGGGATGGAGGGAGTAGATAGATAGGACAGGTAGAGAGGGATGGAGGGAGTAGATAGAGAAGGGTAAGTGTAGAGAGGGGGAAGGAGGGAGGAGTAGATAGAGAGGACAGGTAGAGAGGGATGGAGGGAGTAGATAGATAGGACAGGTAGAGAGGGATGGAGGGAGTAGATAGATAGGACAGGTAGAGAGGGGATGGAGGGGAGGTTAGAGTAGATAGATAGGACAGGTAGAGAGGATGGAGGGAGTAGTAGTAGATAGAGAGGACAGGTAGAGAGGGATGGAGGGAAGTAGTAGTAGGACAGGTAGAGAGGGATGGAGGGAGTAGAGTAGAGGAGTAGAGAGGACAGGTAGAGAGGGATGGAGGGAGTAAGATAGTAGGACAGGTAGAGAGGGATGGAGTTGAGAGTAGAGTAGATAGATAGGACAGGTAGAGAGGGATGGAGGGAAAAGTAGAGTAGAGAAGGACAGGTAGAGAGGGATGAGGGAGTAGATAGAGAGGAGGTAGAGAGTGGAGGAGAGTAGAAGAGGACAGGTAAGAGGGATGGAGGGAGTAGAGTAGAATAGAAGGACAGGTAAGAGAGGGATGGAAGGGAGTGAGGAATAGATAGGACAGGTAGAGAGGGATGGAGGGAGTAGAATAGAGTAGATAGAGAGGACAGGTAGAGAGGGATGGAGGGGGTAGAGATAGAGATAGAGAGAAGGGAGGTAGATAGAGGAAAGGGGAGGGAGAGGAGTAGGAGAGGACAGGTAGAGAGGGATGAGGGGAGATAGATAGAGGACAGGTAGAGAGGGATGGAGGGAGAGAGTAGATAGAGAGGACAGGTAGAGAGGGATGGAGGGTAGGGTAGATAGATAGGACAGGTAGAGAGGGGGATGGAGGGAGTAAGAGTAAAGATAGGGTAGGAAACAGGTAGAGAGGGATGGAGGGAGTAGATAGAGAGGACAGGTAGAGAGGGATGGAGGGAGTAGAGTAGTAGGGGAGACAGGTAGAGAGGGATGGAGGGAGTAAGATAGATAGAAGGACAGGTAGAGAGGGATGGAGGGAGTAGATAGATAGAGAGGACAGGTAGAGAGGGATGGAGGGAGTAGATAGGACAGGTAGAGAGGGATGGAGGGAGGTAAATAGATAGGACAGGTAGAGAGGGATGGAGGGAGTAGATAGAGAGGACAGGTAGAGAGGGATGGAGGGAGTAGATAGATAGGACAGGTAGAGAGGGATGGAGGGAGTAGATAGAGAGTAGTAGAGGGAGGGAGTTAGTAGAGACGGGTAGAGAGGGAATGGAGGGAGTGATAGATAGATAGGACAGGTAGAGAGGGATGGAGGGAAGAGTAGATAGGAGAGGACAGGTATAGAGAGGGGATGGAGGGAGTAATAGGGCAGGTAGAGGGGATGGGATAGATAGGACAGGTAGAGAGGGATGGAGGATGAGTAGAAGGACAGGTAGAGAGGGATGGAGGGAGAAGAAGGAAGGAGTAGATAGGAGGGATAGGGGGAAGGAGTAGATAGTAGAGAGGGATGGAGGAGGGAGTAGATAGATAGGACAGGTAGAGAGGGATGGAGGGAGTAGATAGAAGGACAGGTAGAGAGGGATGGAGGGAGTAGATAGAGAGGACAGGTAGAGAGGGATGGAGGGAGTAGTAGAAGACAGTAGAGAGGGATGGAGAGTAGAATGGAGGGAGTAGAAGGATAGGAGATAGATAGGAACAGGTAGAGAGGGATGGGAGGGAAAGAGATAGATAGGAAGGTTAGCGAGAGGATGGAGGGAGTAGATGGAAGGTAGGAGGGTAGGAGGAGAGATAGAGAAGGGATGGAGGGAGTTAGATAGGACAGGTAGAGAGGGATGGAGGGAGAGTAGATAGAGAGGAAGGTAGGAGGGGATGGAGGGAGTATAGATAGGACAGGTAGAGAGGGATGGAGGAGTAGTAGAGGACAGGTAGAAGGGGAGGAAAGGTAGAGAGGGGATGGAGGGAGTGTAGATAGATAGGACAGGTAGTAGAGAGGGATGGAGGAGTAGATGACAGGTGAGGGATGGAAGAGTAGATAGGACAGGTAGGAGGTGAGGGAGTAGATAGAGAGGACAGGTAGAGGGGATGGAGGGAGTAGACGATAGGACAGGTAGAGAGGGGGGATGGAGGGAGAGATAGATGAGAGGACAGGTAGAGAGGGATGGAGGGGGATAGATATGGGCAGGTAGAGAGGTGAGGAGGTAGAGTAGATAGGAAGGTAGTAGAGAGGGATGGAGAGGAGTAGATAGGGACAGGTAGAGAGGGATGGAGGGAGTAAGTAGATGTAGACAGTTAGAGGAGGAGGTGAAGGAAGGGAGGGAGGAGAGTAGATAGATAGACAGGTTAGAGAGAGGGATGGAGGGAAGATAGATAGGACAGGTAGAGAGGGATGGAGGGAAGTATAGATAGGACAGGTAGAGGGGATGGAGGGAGTAGATGAGAGAGGACAGGTAGAGAGGATGGAGGGAGTAGATAGAGAGGAAGGTAGAGAGGGATGGAGGGAGTAGAAGAAGGACAGTAGAGAGGGATGGAGGGAGTAGATAAGAAGGACAGGTAGAGAGGACAGGAGTAGATAGAAACTGAAGGTAGGAGGGGATGGAGGGAGAGTAGATCAGAAGGACAGGAGGAGGATGGAGGGGTGTGTGACATTGAGAGGATGAGAGTAGATAAGGAAAGGAAGAGGGATGAGGGAGTTTAGCGGTAGAGAGGGTCGAGCGATTAGAGGACATCGAAGTTAGCGAGTAAATGAAGGTTGGGGGGGGAGAGATTTTGCTTGGAACAGGAAAGATGAGGAAGAGTAGTTGACAGGTAATAATTAGATTAGAGAGTGATAGGCAGTAAATTGGGGTGATTAACTAAGGGGGGGGTGGTAAAGTACAAGGTGGGGGGGGGGGTAGGAGATATTTAATTTGAAGGATTATTGTAAGGTAAGAGGATATATCCAATTGATCTGTTTACAATTGTAGAATAGAGTGTTTTGTCCGCACAATTAAGATTATGCCCCCCAGCTAGGAAGGGTTTTACATTTTTTTTTTGGGGGGGTGAGGTACCAATTTTTTTTTTTTAAAAAGAAAGGGGGGGGGGGGGGCCTCAGTGGGAGTGCCCTCCGGGGGGTGTCCCCCGGGGGGAAAAGGGGAAAAGGGACGGTAGAGAGGGATGGAGGGTAGATAGAAGGACATGGGGGGGATGAGAGAGTTCAGATAGATAGGAAAGAGTAGAGAGGGGGATGGAGGAGTAGATAGATAGGACAGGTAGAGGAGGGCTGGAAGAGTAGATAGATAGACAGGTAGGAGGGATGGGAGGGAGAGAGTGCTAGATAGGACGGTAGAGAGGGATGGAGGGAAGTAGATAGAGAGGACAGTAGAGAGGGATGGAGGGAGGAGGAGGCAACAGAAGGAGGGATGGGCGAAAGGAGGAGAGCGCAGGGACGCTGGGTGCTTTGACTAATCTGACGACATTGTGTTCACTAAGCTCAGTCAAGCCAGTAAAGTATATTATAACTAAGAACAATGATTGGAAGAGGAATGTTTTCTTATTGGTCTGTTTCCTGGTTCTGTCTCGTGATTAGAGGATCATTCTCTGTTAGTTTAAAGCCTGGTAAATGACTCCTCAGTCTGTCTCGATCTCTCCGTCTGTCTGTCTCTCTCACTCTCTTTGTTTCTCTTTGGGAAAGGGAAAGAGGGATACCTAGTCAGTTGTACATTTACTTTTACATTTACGTCATTTAGCAGACGCTCTTATCCAGAGCGACTTACAAATTGGTGCATTCACCCTATAGCCAGTGGGTTAACCACTTTACAATACTTTTTTTTTTTTTTTTTTTTTTGGGGGGGGGGGTAGAAGGATTACTTTTACATTTACATTTAACTATTTTCTACATTGTAGAATAATAGTGAACACATCAAAACTATGACATAACACATATGGAATCATATTTACATTTACATTTAAGTCATTTAGCAGACGCTCTTATCCAGAGCGACTTACAAATTGTTGCATTCACCCTATAGCCAGTGGGGGGGGGGGGGGGGGGGGGGGGGGTAGAAGGATTACTTCATCCTATCCCAGGTATTCCTTAAAGAGGTGGGGTTTCAAATGTCTCCGGAAGGTGGTGAGTGACTCCGCTGTCCTGGCGTCGTGAGGGAGCTTGTTCCACCATTGGGGTGCCAGAGCAGCGAACAGTTTTGACTGGGCTGAGCGGGAACTAGGCTTCCGCAGAGGAAGGGGAGCCAGCAGGCCAGAGGTGGATGAACGCAATGCCCTCGTTTGGGTGTAGGGACTGATCAGAGCCTGAAGGTACGGAGGTGCCGTTCCCCTCACTGCTCCATAGGCAAGCACCATGGTCTTGTAACGGATGCAAGCTTCAACTGGAAGCCAGTGGAGTGTGCGGAGGAGGGGGGTGACGTGAGAGAACTTGGGAAGGTTGAACACCAGACGGGCTGCGGCATTCTGGATGAGTTGTAGGGGTTTAACGGCACAGGCAGGGAGCCCAGCCAACAGCGAGTTGCAGTAATCCAGACGGGAGATGACAAGTGCCTGGATTAGGACCTGTGCCGCTTCCTGTGTAAGGCAGGGTCGTACTCTCCGAATGTTGTAGAACATGAACCTGCAGGATCGGGTCACCGCCTTGATGTTAGCGGAGAACGACAGGGTGTTGTCCAGGGTCACGCCAAGGCTCTTCGCACTCTGGGAGGAGGACACAACGGAGTTGTCAACCGTGATGGCGAGATCATGGAACGGGCAGTCCTTCCCCGGGAGGAAGAGCAGCTCCGTCTTGCCAGGGTTCAGCTTGAGGTGGTGATCCGTCATCCATACTGATATGTCGGCCAGACATGCAGAGATGCGATTCGCCACCTGGTTATCAGAAGGGGGAAAGGAGAAGATTAGTTGTGTATCGTCAGCGTAGCAATGATAGGAGAGGCCATGTGAGGATATGACAGAGCCAAGTGACTTGGTGTATAGGGAGAAAAGGAGAGGGCCTAGAACTGAGCCCTGGGGGACACCAGTGGTGAGAGCACGTGGTGCGGAGACAGCTTCTCGCCACGCCACTTGGTAGGAGCGACCGGTCAGGTAGGACGCAATCCAGGAGTGAGCCGCGCCGGAGATGCCCAGCTCGGAGAGGGTGGAGAGGAGGATCTGATGGTTCACAGTATCAAAGTGAGGAGAATGTGGCAAAGAGCTTCCTAGGGTTAGAAGCAGATGCTTGGAATTTAGAGTGGTAGAAAGTGGCCTTAGCAGCAGAAACAGATGAAGAAAATGTAGAGAGGAGGGAGTGAAAAGATGCCAGGTCGGCAGGGAGTTTAGTTTTCTTCCATTTCCGCTCCGCTGCCCGGAGCTCTGTTCTGTGAGCTCGCAATGAGTCATCAAGCCACGGAGCTGGAGGGGAGGACCGAGCCGGCCGGGAGGATAGGGGACACAGGGAGTCAAAGGATGCAGAAAGGGAGGAGAGGAGGGTTGAGGAGGCAGAGTCAGGAGATTGGAGGGAGAAGGATTGAGCAGAGGGAAGAGATGATAGGATGGAAGAGGAGAGAGTAGTGGGAGAGAGAGAGCGTGCCTTGTGAGTAGGGGGGGGACGGTGAGAGGGTGAGGTCAAAAGAGGAGAGGAGTGGAAAGAAGGAGGCAGAGAGAAATGAGTCAAATGTAGACGTAGGGAGGTTGAAATCCCCCAAAACTGTGAAGGGTGAGCCATCCTCAGGAAAGGAACTTATCAAGGCGTCAAGCTCATTGATGAACTCTCCAAGGGAACCTGGAGGGCGATAGATGACAAGGATATTAAGCTTAAATGGGCTAGTGACTGTGACAGCGTGGAATTCAAATGAGGAGATAGACAGATGGGTTAGGGGAAAAATTGAGAATGACCACTTGGGAGAGATGAGGATTCCTGTGCCACCACCCCTCTGACCAGATGCTCTCGGGGTATGCGAGAACACATGGTCAGACGAGGAGAGAGCAGTAGGAGTAGCAGTGTTTTCAGTGGTAATCCATGTTTCCGTCAGCGCCAGGAAGTCGAGGGACTGGAGGGTAGCATAGGCTGGGATGAAGTCAGCCTTGTTGGCGGCAGAACGGCAGTTCCAGAGGCTGCCTGAGACCTGGAACTCCAGGTGTGTGGTGAGTGCAGGGACCACCAGGTTAGAGAGGCAGCAGCCACGCGGTGTGAGGCGTTTGTGTAGCCTGTGCGGAGAGGAGAGAACAGGGATAGGCAGAGGCATAGTTGACAGGCTGCAGCAGATGGCTACAATAATGCAGAGGAGATCGGAATGAAATGAACTAAACATCTGGGAAAGGAGAGAGCAGGCCTCCCTCACCAAAAAAATATAACTCTCCCAACTTCCACCTCAGAAACTATAATTGTTTCACTGAACCACCCGAATAAAACTCTCCCAACTTCCACTTTAGAAATTAGAATTGTTGTAAACTACAGCGGTTCAATGTTTCAATGAATAGACTCAACTTACTTTATTCAGCTAGCTAACTATGACGCCATAGCTAACTAGCATGCTAGCATCCAATAACACACAGTTTAGCACCAATACTTGGTTACAACAAACTACCAATAGTGTGTGAACACACTAAACAGATAATTCGTGTCCGTGTCTAGTTCTTTCATAACGCAGCAATGATTAAACGTTGGCTAGCTAGCACAAAGATATTGTATATTAGCTACTACAGTACAGCCAGCTGGTAGTGTTGGCTAGCTAGCAATGGCTGCTGTGTTGACTTTGTTTGAAAAAAACGGCGTCGCTGCGAACGAATGTAGCTGGCTAAAAGGATATTGTTTTTAGTTGCTACCGTTGCTAATAGCTACTCGCCAGCTAATCCAGGAGGTGAGTTAGCTAGCTAGCTTCGTGCTACACCCGGCACCGCCGACTACAAAAGTAACCTACAATAACTACACAACAACTACCCACAACAGCCCACGATGCCTACCTATACTACTTAATAATATACAGCCCACGATGCCTACCTATAATACCTAACTACAATCTAAATACATAGTTTAAGCCTTACTCGACAAAGCCCAAGCTATGTATAAAGCCAAACTGGCATACTGCAATCAGTAGCTGTAATTAAGTACAGCAGCTACCAACCACCTAACGTTAATGCCTCGGATAATGAGGTTAGAAAAACAGCTGAATGGTGGCAGCTAGCTGGCTCAATCACAGGTACTCTTAAGCGTGAAATAACATTGGAAACAACTAACCACAGTTGCTAAAAGTTACCAGTAGCTACCCGCTAGCTAGCTAGCTAGCTTTGTTGGTCCAAGTAGTGGGTAGGCTAGCCTCGTGCTTCGCCGGGGTCCGCCGAATACAATACTTACCTACAATAACCTACAATAACTACCTGAGTAAACTACCTATAATACCTAACTACAATACCTACCTACAATCTAAATACATGGTTTAAGCTTTACTCAACACCATATAAGAAGCCAAGCTTACCTCCTGCTAGAGAAAACACAACCTACAACTGAATGCATTCAACTGATATGTGTCTTCCGCATTTAACCCAACCCCTCTGAATCAGAGAGGTGCAGAGTGCTGCCTTATTCGACATCCACGTCTTCGGCGCCCGGGGAACAGTGGGTTAACTGCCTTGCTCAGCGACAGAACGACAGATTTTTACCTTGTCAGCTCGGGGATTTGATCCAGCAACCTTTCGGTTACTGGCTCAATGCTCCTACCCGCCAGGCTACCTTTGTCTGTCTGTCTGTGAGTGTCTGTCTCTCGCTAATCTTTTTCTATCTGCCTCTCTCTATCTACCTTCCTCTCTCTCTCTGTAGGAGAAGTGTGCCCAGTACTGGCCCAGTGATGGGGTGATGGTGTGTGGGGACATCTCCATTGAGCTGAAGAAGGAGGAGGAGAGTGAGAGCTACACTGTTAGAGACCTCCTGGTCACCAACAACAGGGTGAGGACAGAGGCTGCCTCAAAAAACACTAGCAGTCAACATAACCCATTCAAAACTCTCCACACACACACACACACACACACACACACACACACACCCCAAGCAGAAGTAAACTAGATTCGATTTGTCACTTCTATGTGTCTTCAGTGTGTGTTTGTATGTGTGGGCAGTGTTTACCCCTATATTATTTTTATCAGGATGGTAAAAAGTTTTCAGTGTAAACTTAAATGACTAAAACCAGGTATAAAGTATGTAGAAAAATAATGGCGCAATATATTTTTTAATCATCATTTTAGATGATACTAATAACTAACAACTACCTAAATAAAAACTAGACAGTCAGGGATTCCAAAAAAAATCAAAAAATGTAATTGCATGGGGCCCTCATTGATTTTGTTATAATATTTGAGTCACTCAGATGGCATAAGAACACTGCATAAGACTGCCACTACCCCCCTACGCTAACTTTGCCACCGCTGCTGAAAAACCCCCTAGGGGAAACACTGGTGGTGGGTGTCTCTCTTCCTGTCTGACTCTTTCCTTTCTCACTCTTTAGGAGAACAAGGCTCGTACGGTGAGACAGTTCCATTTCCATGGCTGGCCAGAAGTGGGCATCCCCAGTGACGGGAAGGGCATGATCAACATCATCGCTGCGGTCCAGAAGCAGCAGCAACAATCTGGCAACCACCCAATAACTGTCCACTGCAGGTAACCTACACCTAACATTTTAACAATTTATCATATTTTGTGAGTACGTGTACTCACAAAGCTAACCTTTGTGTGTGTGTGTCAGTGCGGGCGCGGGGCGGACGGGGACCTTCTGTGCCCTGAGCACGGTCCTGGAGCGGGTGAAGGCTGAGGCCATCCTGGACGTCTTCCAGACCGTCAAGAGCCTCCGGCTGCAGAGACCCCACATGGTTCAGACACTGGTGAGGACACACTATGTTACGCAACACCTAGATACATGATGCAGACTGTTACACTATCTCAAATGGATGTTGCAGTTTCACCAATTAAGGATTTCAGCTTTAATGATGTGTGTTATAATAATGCAATTATTCAACCTGAGTTTAGCCAACTGTACAATGCACGTGATGCAATTGCGAGTTGCAAGCTTAGGAACTCGCATTGAATAAATATGCCTTCCTGTATTTTGGAAATTTGACGGTTATTTTTCGATCACTGCTCACTGCCAATTGCTCACGCTAAATGTCCCCCTATGTGAAAAATATGGAAAGTATTGTGAAAACGGTGCTGGCTAAAGTTTCTACCTAGAGCTCAACCAATATTTGATTTGATATGTATTTTTTTGGGTCCGATGCCGATTTTTTGGGGGGGACAAAACTTAGTGATTCCGATATCTTTTTACAGCGGGGAAATGAAAAAGTGTAATTTTTCCACACTGAATTCTCATCAATTGCAATCCATTGTGATAATGGCGCCGGAGGGGATGGCTGCCGTTTTACAGGCTCCTAACCAACTGTGCTATTTTGTGTGTTTTTCCGCATTGTTTGTAACTTATTTTGTACATGTTGCTGCTACGGTTTCTTATGACCGAAAAGAGCTTCTGGATATCAGAACAGCGATTACTCACCTCGAACTGGACGAAGATTTTTTCTTTAATGAGTCCGACGCGAAGGATATACTGCTTCTCCAAGACCGGGCCTAAATCCCTGTCATTTGTTTGAAGAAAAGACGGAAATACAGGGGGCGGAGATCGGGGTGCCTTGTGAGAATTTGTCGGTGAGTGGGTAACCCGCCTCTACCATCCGTTCTATTGTCCAACGTGCAATCACTGGAGAATAAACTGGATGATCTCCGTTCAAGACTATCCTACCAACGATTAAAAACTGTAATATGTTTCACCGAGTCGTGGCTGAACGGCGACACGGATAATATACAGATGGCTGGGTTTTCCATGCATCGGCAGGACAGAACAGCTACGTCTGGTAAGACGAGGAGTGGGGGTATGTGTCTATTTGTCAATAACCGCTGGTGCGCGATGTCTAATATTAAGGAAGTTTTGAGGTATTGCTCGTCTGAGGTAGAGTACCTCATGATAAGCTGTAGACCACACTATCTACCAAGAGAGTTTTCATCAATATTTTTTGTAGCCGTCTATTTACAACCACAAACCGATGCTGGTACTAAGACCGCACTCAACGAGCTGTATAAAGCCATAAGCAAACAAGAAAATGCTCATCCAGAAGCGGCGCTCCTAGTGGTCCGGGGACTTTAATGCAGGCAAACTTAAATCTGTTTTACCTTTCTACCAACATGTCACGTGCAACCAGAGGGAAAATAACTCTAGACCACCTTTACTCCACACACAGAGACGCATACAAAGCTCTCTCTCGCCCTCCATTTGGCAAATCTGACCTTTTTTTTTTCTTCACCTTTATTTAACCAGGTAAGCCAGTTGAGAACAAGTTCTAATTTACAACTGCGACCTGGCCAAGATAAAGCAAAGCAGTGCGATAAAAACAACAACACAGAGTTACATATGCAAGCAAAAACTAAAGCAGGAAGTACCAGTGACTCGCTCAATACGGAAGTGGTCAGATGACGCAGATGCTACACTACAGGACTGTTTTGCTAGCACAGACTGGAATATGTTCCGGGATTCATCCAATGGCATTGAGGAGTATACCACCTCAGTCACTGGCTTCATCAATAAGTGCATCGACGACCTTGTCCCCACAGTGACCGTACGTACATATCCCAACCAGAAGCCGTGGATTACAGGTAACATCTGCACCGAGCTAAAGGCTAGAGCTGCCGCTTTCAAGGAGCGGGACGCTAATCCGGGCGCTTATAAGAAATCCCGCTATGCCCTCAGACGAACCATCAAACAGGTAAAGCGTCAATACAGGACTAAGATTGAATCCTAGTACACCGGCTCTGACGCTCGTCGGATGTGGCAGGGCTTGCAAACTATTACAGACTACAAAGGGAAACCCAGCTGCGAGCTGCCCAGTGATGTGAGCCTACCAGACGAGCTAAATGCCTTTTATGCTCACTTCAAAGCAAGCAAAACTAAAACATGCATGAGAGCACCAGCTGTTCCGGATGACTGTGTGATCACGCTCTCCGTAGCCGATGTGAGCAAGACCTTTAAACAGGTCAATTTACTGCCCACAAAGCTCATCACTAAGCTAAGGACCCTGGGACTAAACACCTCTATCTGCAACTGGATCCTGGACTTCCTGACGGTCCGCCTCAGGTGGTAAGGGTAGGCAACATCACATCTGCCACGCTGATCCTCAACACAGGGGCCCCTCAGGGGTGCGTGCTTAGTTCCCTCCTGTACTCCCTGTTCACCCACGACTGTGTGGCCAAGCACGACTCCAACACCATCATTCAGTTTGTTGATGACACAACAGTGGTAGGCCTGATCACCGACAACGATGAGACACCCTATAGGGAGGAGGCAAGAGACAGCAACCTCTCCCTCAACGTGAGCAAGACAAAGGAGCTGATCGTGGACTACAGGAAAAGGAGGGCCGAACACGACCCTGTTCACATCGACAGGGCTGTAGTGGAGCGGGTCGAGAGTTTCAAGTTCCTTGGTGTCCACATCACCAACAAACTATCATGGTCCAAACACACCAAGGCAGTCGTGAAGAGTGCACGACAACACCTTTTCCCCCTCAGGAGACTGAAAAGATTTGGCATGGGTCCCAAGATCCTCAGTAGCCCCAGATCCATCGGTAGCATCACCGCCTGGTATGGCAACTGCTCGGCATCGGACCCTAAGGCGCTACAGAGGGCGTACGGCCCAGTAATTCACTGGGGCCAAGTTTCCTGCCATCCAGGACCTATATACTAGGCGGTGTCAGAGGAAGGCCCAAAAAATAGTCAGACTCCAGTCACCCAAGTCATAGACTGTTCTCTCTGCTACCGCACGGCAAGCGGTACCGAAGCGCCAAGTCTAGGTCCAAAAGGCTCCTTAGCAGCTTCTACCCCCAAGCCATAAGACTGCTGAACAATTAATCAAATGGCCACCTGGACTATTTACATTGACCCCCTCCCCTTTGTTTTTACACTGCTGCTACTCGCTGTTTATTATCTATGCATAGTCACTTTACCCCTACCAACATGTACAAATTACCTCGACTAACCTGTACCCCCACACATTGACTCGGTACCAGTACCCCCTGTATATAGCCTCGTTAGTTTTATTGTGTTAGTTTTTATTTTATTTTTTACTTTAGTTTATTTAGTAAATATTTTCTTAACCAACAATGCAGTTCAAGATATTGTTAAGGGCTTGTATTTGGCGCATGTGAGAAATAAAATTTGATTTGATTTGAAAAGAGCAATTGTCCAATAACTATGCTTAAAATGTTGATTTCATACATTGTGACGTTTATTTTTTATTTATTTTTACATTTTAGTCATTTAGCAGACACTCTTATCCAGAGCGACATCAAACAGATTTTTCATCTAGTCGGCTTGGGGATTCGAACCAGCAGCCTTTCGGTTACTGGCCCAACGCTCTTAAGCGCTAGGCTACCTGCAATAATGACACATCATGAGAAGGTCGCAAGTGTTCAGATAAGCATGAGATTCCCTTTACTCATCCTATTTATTGAATATCGGTTATCGGTTGAATTATGGGCCGATAATATCGGTTGGACTCTATTGCTACCATACCAACTTTGTTGTCAACAACAAATGTAAACACAAACAAGAAAGTATAAACTCCTCAACGAGCTCTTGGCTCACCCAGTCAGAAACTCACCTCTGTCCACTTTCTTTTTCCCCCATGTTTCCTTCCTCTTTTTATGTGATCACCGCCAAATGAGATACTGTGTATGCGTGTGTGTGTGTGGTTTTGTTCACATACACAATTTTCTCTACTGTCTTTTTGGACAGCATTTAAAACACAACTTTTTCAGTGACTTAGAATAGTTTTGCAATTCCGTTTGTGTGCAAATGAATTGATCTTGGTTGTATAGTTAGTAGTATCCTTTATAATCATCATTGTGATGTTCTCCTCTCTCTCTCTGTTTTAGGAGCAGTACGAGTTCTGCTACAAAGTAGTCCAGGAGTATATTGATGCCTTTTCTGACTATGCCAACTTCAAGTAGGGACAGACCCACACATGGGACGGACATCCATATACAGTCATAAAAACAAAGCAAACACACACGTACCCGACGGAAGCAAAGAAACTGGTTAAGGCTTAGATGACTGGACAGCCTGCGTGCATGAAGGAAAAGGGAATGGAAGTCTTGTGACAGAGCAAAGTGCAGCGCTGCAGTGTACCGGAGGGAGTGAATATCAGAGATGCCTTCTTGAATATTTTGTAATATTGATCTTGTTAATATGGCTCCCCATCCAGACAACCCCCAATCATGTACATATACTTAGCCTGTCACATTTTGTTGTTTTGTTTTTAAGACCTTTTTTTTTGGCTGCATTTTTAGGGTGACATTTATAATGTATTTTATTGGTTTATATAAATATATATGAATATAAATCGGACGCTTTAGAGGCTTATGTCAAAAATCGAGAATTGAGGGAATGGTGTTGGTATTTTTTTATTTCTCTTGTCTTTTGGTTTTTACAGTTCAGTGACTGAGACTTACGTGGTTGATGGCTTCATCTGATTCAGGCTGCAACTTAATGCTGATAGGTCAACCTCAGAGGAATAGATTTACACAGCCAATCAGAATTAATCTGTTCACACGAACGCACACACGCTACAGCTAGCCAGGAGCATATCCAGAATTGGCCACGATGGCTTTGCTAATCACATGGTCCAAACCCTTTCGACTAGTTTTCCGTTGAGTTCACAGATCACACAGAGGCCAATGAGTCATGGCATTTGCTAAACCCACCGTTACACAAGTGCGTAGCACCCCAGAGCCGATTTGAATTCTCACAGCACAAACAGATTGTTTGTGTGTGTGTGTGTGTGTGTTTTTAAAAGGGAGCCGTGAAAAGTCTGGCTGGAGGGGGGACACTGTTTCCCCTGTGTGCCAAACAGTCTCCTCAGGTGAAGAGTAAAGTTGCTCCTTGACCCTGGTCTTGGGTCAGTTTTGCGTTTCCCTCACTAATAGTTAAGATTAGGATTTGGGGAGCTGATCCTAGATATGTACCTAGGGCCCACTCTTCACCTGAGAGGCAGGCCTATGGCGTAGCTAGCCACATATCTCTCACACAGTCCAACACATTGTGGCTTTGCTGCGTTTGTGTTCAAATACCTAGGAAACACTGTAATTTAGGTGGACATGCACATGCTGGGTGTCACAGAGGATTCTATGTGTGTAGAACGTTTAGGGAAGTTGAAGTATATTGAAATGTAAGGAGCGTGTTGAAGATTTGGCCGACAATGCATTCAAAATAGCCTTTGCATAATAATGATGAGTATATGAGGTCCATATGTTGCCACAATATAATGATTATTTCAGAATGACCATATATAAAACTATGTAGATTATGGGTGTATGTCCATATATCTCAAAATATAGTAACCATGCAATTACTGTGCATTTCCTATCATTTGTTGCATCATGGAAATGAACCAATTCTTATGTATGTTTTCATATATTTAATTGCTTACAATTAGAATGGGGGAAAACATTTCCTATCTATTATTTACGTATCATTCCATTTACTTGTTTGTAATCTATTGGGTATATTTCTTTTTGGTATAGGTTGGTTGAGAAGATGACATCAAAATGTGAAGACCCCCCCTCTCTCTGTTTTTCGACTTGGGCCTATTCAGGGTGATGAAACGTTACAGAATGTTCAGATAGAAATGTATTGTGTAGAACATATGTGGTTGTCATATAGAATATAAATTGTCTGCTCTATTCATTCTATTTCTATCTGCACCATTTAGAAAGTCTATCTGTTAGTGTTTTATTGAAATATAATTCAACTCCAATGTCACTAAAACTAAGAATGTTTTATACTTTAATGCTGTTGCTTTGATACTCCCACCCCCAAATTGATAAATTTGTACTTTTATTGCTAAAACGTGTGACATGATGGAATGTTTGCAGTGATTTTTTTCCTCTTCAGAATGGCTGCCTGTAAGGACAGCTTGGCTAGAAACACACACTATGGGTTTGTGGATGAGGCCACCCTCGGGCGTACCTCGGTCTTTAGTTGCGATTGTAATGAAAGGTAAATGTCAGTTAGCTAGCAACAAGGTTGAGGTCAATTCCATCTCTGCCTGGTCAACTCAGGAAATGACTTAAAATTGTCAGGGAGGGTGGGTTCCTGTACGGGTTCTTTCAATGTATATAAATTACATTTCAGTTTGTCTACTTAGTTGGTTGTGTGCAAATGGAATTGACCCTGCCCCTGGTCCGTTAGCCAATCACAGCTACCAATTGCCCTCAAAGGATTGTAATAAACAGTATAATAGTGTGTGGGGGGCATGCCGTATGGTGTGTAGTGTGTATGATTCCCACCCACTTCCCTGTGAACTAATGTGTGAACCCAAACCCTACCACCCCACTCAATTGATATCTGCAAGGTTTGAGTGTATGAGGGGTAACTGACATGAGGCTTTAGCTGTCAGTTGTGATCGGGGATTATTGGTCAATTATAAGAGCTGCCATGTTGATCCCAGTTTCTCCATTGGTCTGTGGAGTTAACATCACAGGAGGCTGCTGAGGGGAGGACGGCTCATAACAATGGCCGGAACAGACAAATGGAATGGCGTCAAACCATGCGTTTGATGTATTTGATACCATTACACGAATTCCGCTCCAGCCATTACCACGAGCCCGTCCTCCCTAATTAAGGTGCCACCAACCTCCTGTGGTTGAAAGGTATGCTAGAGATCTGCCAAGCCAGTCGATACCAAACGCATTCTCTTATACACAGATGGCCCTATTTTTCCGGTCATAAAGGTTTAGCGTTGTTTTGTCATTAGGACATAAGGAAAGCCCACAGTGTGTAGAAAAATACCTGCCCAACCCTTGCTGTTCAGGAGTTCGAATGGATTGGTTTAGCTTCTCCCTTTATATATTATTATAGGCCGAAAGGAAGGAGCACAATCCAGCTCTGTCGTGCTTGAATCATATGGGATCAGGAAATTAGAAATAGTCTCTGAAACTCCACAAAAAAAGCACCAGTATTGAGAAGTTGTTATTGTTGATTGTTCGAATGCTTGTGCTATTTGCACCTAAAAAAATATCAGAACCAATGATGCAAAGGCCAGATGGGTAACATGACCAAGAGATAGTAAATGACTTTGCAGCTAGGGTTGCAAAATTATTTTATTTTTTATCTTGGTTGAAGAATTCCAGGTGGGAGGATTCCCTCGCAGCTTATTCCCTTCTAATTCCCCAAAATCCTCCAACCAGGATTTTTTTTTTAAACTGGATTTTTTATTAAATTAATAATTGCAACCATAATGTCAACATTGAAGATGCCTTTTAAAAGACTCTGGTTATGGCCTCTAGTTAGGCATCTAGTTCTGACTGGTTCTCTTGGGTTAAACCACAGGACATGGATAGCTAGTTAGAGATCTTCAAACCGGATGTCTCACTTAGACCAGTCACTTAAATACTGTCAACGTCATTTCAGACCGTGTTCCATTCCAAAGCATCTCAAGTGCCCGTGTGTTACGATTGGTGCCGTTTTGTTTTCCTTCCTGGATGTTTGGTTGTGTCGGATCTTTGTAATCGTCAGGGTGGGCGTTGGTGTGTGTGGAGAAGCGAGGCTTTTACTCTTCTCTTGAGCCAGAAGGTTTGCTGAATGTAATCACCTGTCCCCAACGACACTGTGCCAACACCCAACCCTAGTGACTTAAGGCTTTACTCTAGAAAGTGCCTCACAGGTTGATTTTATATGGAAAATAAGTTCACTGCACCTCTCCCTCTGGGAGTTGATTGAGTGTAGGTGTATAGACGCTTGGTAAACCAGTATCACCCTACAGATTAGTACATCTATTTGGCCCCTCCCCTTCCCACTACTATTTTTAGCCGTTGTAGATAACTTTATCGACAAAGACCCTAAAGCCGTAGCAGTCGCTTGGCTTTGTAACACAGAAACCAAGATCAGGGCCTTTTATTCTCCTGTTCAAATTCATGCTCCACCAGCTTCCTTTCCATTTCATGCTGTAACGCCGGGTTCCATTCCAATCCAACTCCATTCCTTTGTTTTGAACCAGCTTTGTTTTGGCTCCATGTCTTCATTCCATTCCACTGAAGTGCTGGACCCTTGACTATTCCTTCATTGTGGTCCCTTGTCGGGTACTCTACCCTGAGTTACTCCAACCACAAATCACAATGGCATTGTTTACTGGTTATTACAGAGGACAGCTAGGTGCATCTGGGCCCTTGTTCCACACCCCTGCTGGCTGCCAATAGAAATGTGACGCAACACCCCAGTAATGTAATGTCCCTGTCTGAGCAACAGGGCACACCTTTCTTCAGAGAAAGAGAGCGAGACAGACTGGAGGAGTGGGGCTTCTTAGGGTTCAACCAGTCTCTCTCCATCTCTCCCACCCCTAAACTCGTCTTCTTAGGGTTCAACCAGTCTCTCTCGGTCTCTCCCACCTCTAAACTTGTCTCTCCCACCCTTAAACCTGTCTCTCTCTTCCATCCCTAAAGCTCTCTCACCCCTAAACCTGTCACTCTCTGTCGATCCCACCTCTTAACCTGTCTCTCTCTGTCTCTCCCACCTCTTAAACCTGTCTCTCTCTGTCTCTCCCACCCCTAAATCTGTCTCTCTCGGTCTCTCCCGCCCCTAAATCTGTCTCTCTCTGTCTCTCCCACCACTAAATATGTCTCTCTCTGTCTCTCCCACCACTTAAACCTGTCTTTCTCCTCCTGATCCTGTTTAGCTGTCCCTTGGATGTGCCCAAAGATCTCTCTCTCTTTTTCCCTTAACTCCCATCTCCTTCTTCTCCCTCTCTTGTTCTATTTGCCCCTTGGGCTGGTTTGGTCTCCCCTATATCCGGCACTGCCCCACTCCCTTCTGAACATAATTTCATTCCTGTCTGCTGCCTTGCTTTTTAGTTTGTTTTATTTTTATTTTTTTGTACATTAACTGTACTGGGACCATTTAGAGATGAATGAGATATTTTGTGTTTTTCTTGCTATTTTTAATTTGGTATTATTATTGTTTTAAGAAAATCCTATATTTTATTTGCATCTGTTTTGTTTTCTAGTGTTTTGTTATAAAAAATAAATTGAATATATGTATATATAATTATATATATTATAAAATTATATATAATTATATAATGCCAAATGGCCTTTCTAAGCAAGATATTGTTTAAACCTAATAAAATGCTTGAGATTTTGTGTTATTTGTTTATTACCTACAGCATTATCTGGTGAAATCTGATGTTCAGTAGTAACACCAATCACAACATTGATACTATTATCTTCAATACTGGAATTGAACCAAGTCTTCTAACATGTGTTCTGTTCAGTAGGGCAAGTCACAGCAAAACTTTTTATAATGGAAAATGGAAATCTGTGATTTGAGAAGGACAGGCCTCCCCATTTTAATGCCATTTCGAAATGATTTCTCCCTACTGAACACAACCCTGTTCTGAGACTAATTACACTGCATGATGATGACTGATATGTGCCCCAATGCACATCCAGGTTATGCACTGTTATTGAGGGTTTGTCTGGACTTGCTTTTCAGTTAAGAGTTTAACCCTTACCCTCAATCAAATATTCATGCTGCATTTCTCATTACATTACCCACTGCAGCAGGGGTTGTGTTGGAATGTGTGTAAAGACAGCGATAGAAACAATATTTGAATGTTATAATAGTCCATAACATTGGAGACTGCTGAGGGGAAGACAGCACTTAATAATGGCTGGAACAGAGTGAATGGAATGGCATCAAACCCATGGAAACCATGTGTTTGATGTATTTGATACCATTCCACTGATTCCGCTCAAGCCATTACAACGAGCCCGTCCTCCCCAATTAAGATGCCACCAACCTCCTGTGGTCCATAACCAGATAATACATTATCTAGATTCTACAGCTTGGAGTAAGCACTTGATTGAAGCTAGTCCTGCAGGGATGGGAGGATTCTGGACCTGGAAGCAGAGGCGTCATGCCCACAGGGGCATGGTCCCCTCACATTTTTAAACAGGACAAATATATGTTTTGTTTTTGTTTCTCTAATACTACTAGCCACATAGCAATTTTATGAAGTTGGCTTTAGCTAGCCCAGATAGGTTCCCAACCTCGTAACTAGCTACCAAGAAGCCATTTCAGGCTATCAATCAAGTTAGAGTAGCTAGCTTGTCTAATTTAGCTGGCATGCCTGCTGGCAAGGTTGGTAGACTTTAGAAAAGCGAGCAATAACTAAATGTACTGATAAGACTCACATTCCTTTCAATCTCTTACCCAGATTTTAGCAGAGATACAGAGAAGCATATTTAGTTTCTTTAAAAATATAACCACTAGACAGTTCGAGGTATGCTTAGATATGCAGAAAAATAAACATATTTTTGACAGAAGTAAGCATAATGATTATGACTAGGTTGCAGGAAAATACTTTCAGGTGTTAGAACATTTCTAAATTCTCCAACTTCCACCACCCAGCCATCCTTACATACTTTGTGCCCCCCTTAGATTTTTGGGGTGCATGACGCCCCTGCCTGGAAGGCCACTCGCAGTGCTGATCCAACTAATCATGGTCTAATCTGAAGATTAGGATTAGTGATTAGCTAAATCAGGTGTGTTAGCGCTGGGCTGGAACAAAAGCCTACACACCCTGCTACAGCCCTCTCCAGGACTGGAATTGTCCATCTCTGCAAGATCCAACTTGACCGTCCCACACCCTTGATAAGGTCCAGGGCCCCTATTCACAGCGTCTAAGAGTAGGAGTGCTGATCTAGGATCAGGTCCCCCCTCTTCATTATGGTTTAAAAGGCAAAACTGATCCTAGATCAACTGAACCTACTCTAAGACATTTTGTGAATACGGCCCAGGTTCTCCGCTTCCGTTCGCGGGCCGCATCTCAGGAAGGTTTGGCGGGCGAGACTAATTCTCCTCGGTGACTCATGCAGCGCTCCGTCATGTCCTCCTGCTTCCTGCGCCCCCCTCATGCTGGCATCCCCGTGTCAGTCAGCAGATTAACTAAGTCAACGGCAAGAAGACACACTGTCAATCAACCGCCCGATAGGAACACCCCTATGCATTTTAAACATTAACATTTGCCAGTCCCCAATTGATACCCCCTCACCCAAGTCAAAAAGGCCTGTCAGACTGGAATAGAGAGAGATGGTGGCAGCTGGTGTGTTTACCCGTGGTCGTGTTTGCTTGTCATCCGGTGTCCCCATGGTCAAAGTGTCCTGGCGGTCACTCGGGTGTGATGGAGGGCGCGTGACAGGCCACGGCACCACTTTAAGCAGGGGCAAATACAGAGGAAATGGGATTTGGCCTAGGTCAGTGATCCTCAACCCCCGGTCTGCAAACCAACACTGGACCCTAGGATGTTGTTGACCGGTCCCACAGACTGTTAGCGAAATTACACCAATTTGTCAGTTCTCAAGTGCTAGTTGTAGGTGTCCCTCTAAGCAGGAAGGACAACCGGTTGCCAGTCCCTGGTAAAGTAAGGACCATAGCTTGCCGGTCCCTGATATAACAAGGTTGAGAAACATTGAAGATTCGATGTGTTCAATCTTCGTTAGTCTCAGGTTTTGTCAGATTGTCTGTGTCCTCCACAGTTCTGAAATCTGAACGCAATTGACAAAATCTGAACGCAACTGACAAAATCTGAATCAGTCCAGTTGAAATTTGTCTTCCAATAAATGTTTCCATGAATGTGATGTGTAAAGAAGATGTGAGAAAGTCATGAAGTGACAGAACGGGATTCATCCAACCGCATGATGTTTATAGTAAACCACGTCAATGTATTGATTTTGGTGGCTGGGAGCAGGCTGGCTGGGGGGTGTAATGGAGGGGGGTGGGGGGGGGGGGGTATTAGGTACAGACAGGACGAACATCCCAGGGGAGGTCAGGACTATTTGGAGATGATAATTGGAATTGAGCGGATCTTACGCACACCCCACATCCCTAAACACCGCTGAGCTGACCGCTGGGAGGGAAAGGAGCAATGGGGTCAGCGATGGGCGGGGCGAGGGGAGGTAGGGTGAGGGAGGGGAGGGGAGGGTAGTAGGGGCATTTGAGGTGGGGACATAAATTGAGGAGGAAGAGGAGGCTTACAACACTCATCGTCGCCTCAGGAAAAGTGATTTGTCACTGAGTTGCTGTATACCAACAGGTTAATAATAGGCAGAAGTGAACAGCGAGCACACATAGACAGACTTGGTGGACATCAACAGTGATAACCGATTCCATACAACAGGTATTATCAGACTGAGGATCTAAGGTAAGGATTGCTATGATTTTTGCTATTTGGTATAATGGGTTAAAAAGTTAGCTCTTGGAAAGGATTTTAGCATTTCCTTTAGGTTTGATGCTTTGTATGAAGTATACATTAAACCCATAGACAGCTACATTTATTGGTTCCATTGTATGGTGAATGAGTGGTGGCAGTACCAGTATATATTTTGGAGTTAGACGTTTTTAAAACATCCTAACATTACACTGTTAACGTGCCTTTCTAAGTGGAATCTTGAGAAGAAATTACCACAACAATTGCCAATGAGAAACTGATCTTTGAAACCCACTGTGAACTTTACTGTATATCTTATTTTATTTTAATTTTAAAAAAAATTAGGGGGTAGATCAGCTTTAATATTGCAGATAGATTGTAACTTCCATCAATGTAATTGTCTGCATCACTTCCAATCCCCCATATATTTTTTTCGCTAATATATATGTACATACATACATACATACATACATACATACATACATACATACATATACACATACATATACATACATATATATACACATCCTTCTTTTTTAATATAGTTTCCTTAATTACTTTCCAACCCCACCACCCCTCCCCTAATTGGAGTAAACTAGTGAACAACAACGCTTAGGCCTCTACTTCCAGCATATACATACTATATACATTTTATGGACAGTCAATTTTACAATAGTTCTATTTTGTCTGTTTTTACTCCTGAACTTCCTCTACCCTCAACCTCTCCGATCATTTTCATGATGTCCATCCGGTTTGCTTCTATATGCCATATCTTTCAAACTGTGCTCTTTCACAAAAGTTCTCAACCTATAACCTATTTTTATTTATTTTTATTTCACCTTTATTTAACCAGGTAAGCCAGTTGAGAACAAGTTCTCATTTACAACTGCGACCTGGCCAAGATAAAGCAAAGCAGTGCGATAAAAACAACACAGAGTTACATATGGGGTAAAACAAAACATAAACATGTATATACTTATTATGGACACAGTATGTTTTACATGAGTTATCTTGTTGTTATTAGTTGTTATTAGTCCCAACCCCCAACCCCTCCCATCTATCTCTTAACACTTAATATTGGATTTCTATTTGCCATATATTTTTTAACTGGACTGTGATGTTTCACAAAAGTTCTGAACCGTTCTATTCTCATTGTTACTACAGATTGTAAATTTAAAAAATAAACATTTTTGCTAAAAGTATTATTATATTATTGATCAATTGATCACCCAGTAGTGCTATCTGCATTCCTGGACCTGTGACCAAAAACAAGCTACAAATGGACAGTACCAAAATAAATTATCTAATGATTCTGTCTCTTCGCAGCAAAATCTGCAGAGCTGGGAAGATTGTATTCCCCATATAAATAACATTCTATTGGTAGCAAGAATTTTGTATAATAATTTAAATTGAAAAATTCAAGTTTTGAATCCGGCTTCGTTTTACGTATCAGTTCATAAACCACTTGCCATCGAATCGGTACGTCAAAAATCTCTTCCTAACTATTTTGCAATCTATATGGGACTGCTGTCAATCCTTTGGTCCTTAAATGAAACTGGTATACTTTTTTATTTATCACAATTTTCTTTAACCAATGATGGTCTATGAACTTTACTGTATTTGTTTGTGGAGATTTTTTTCCCTGTGTATAAATATGATTAATGTATTGGATTAAATATTTATCGTGCATAAAATGAAGTTATGAGCTGCACACAAAAAAACTTTAAGGCTTGTTGTTGCTTTTTGCTGTTTGCCTCTCCAATCGTGCCTCTTCACTAAGATTTGAATAATTACCCTCATTTGCCTGGCAGATCAGACGCCGCCGTCACACTTTTGACACCAATGTAGCGACCATGTAGCAGTAGGTACGGCCACAGGGGATGTTCAACCCCCGGTTGTCTAACCCCAAGGCAAGCAGACAGACGGTTGCCTCCCACAAGGTATCCAATGCTACTGTTGCCCAGTGGTGTAAAGTACTTAAGTAAAAATACTTTAAAGTACTACTTAAGTCGTTTTTATGGGGTATCTGTACTTTTCTGTTGATATTTTTGACAACTTTTACTTTTACTTCACTACATTCCTAAAGAAAATAATGTACTTTTTACTCCATACAATTTCCCTGACACCCAAAAGTACTAGTTACATTTTGACAGGAAAATGGTCCAATTCACACACTTATCAAGACAACATCCCTTGTCATCCCTACTGTCTCTGATGTGGTGGACTCACTAAACACAAATGCTTCGCTTGTAAATGATGTCTGAGTGTTGGAGTGTGCCCCTGGCTATCCGTCAATAAAATTTAAAAAAAGAAGGCATTTGAAATGGTTTATGCTTTTACTTTTGATACTTAAGTACATTTTATCAATTACATTTACTTTTGATACTTAAGTATATTTACTTTACTTTTACTCAAGTAGTATTTTACTGGGTGACTTTCACTTTTACTTGAGTCATTTTCTATTAAAGTATGACAATTTAGTACTTTTTCCACCACTGCTGTTGCCTAGGGTCAGGTTTACGAGACTAAGGCAAGCATGTAGTTCCAAGTGAATTAATTCCCTTGAGAGCTCTAGGGTCTTCACAGTATTCTCCCCCCTCTCTATCACTTTCTCTCGTTCCCGAGGCATGAATAATGATCCCCCATCCCTCCCTTTCTTTCCTTGTGAAAGGTGTGCAAGCCTGACAGGTGTCTCATGCTCTCTTTCCCACACCCTCCCGCTCCTTACATCTCTCCATCCCTCTCTCTCCAGCTCCAGTGATGGTGAGTGTGGCTAGGCTGGTGTTGATGCTGGGGCTGCTGCTGTGTCTGGGAGCCCAGCTGTCCTCCTCCCAGCACTGGTCCCATGGCTGGTACCCAGGAGGCAAGAGGGAACTGGACTCATTTACCACCTCTGAGGTGGGTCACAATACTACAATCGCAATGACTCAAATAGATATTACATCTGCGTAAAACACACAGTAGCCATTTGTGTCACAATCATTCTATTATCTCTCTCTCTCAGATTTCAGAGGAGATTAAACTCTGTGAGGCAGGAGAATGCAGCTACCTGAGACCACAGCGAAGGAACATCCTTAAGAACATTCTTGTGAGTGCAGGGGCGCCCTTACGAAAAAAAGTCAAAGTGAAGTATAACTGCAGTTAGAGTGCAGTATAACTGCAGTATGCAGCAAATACTACGTCCAAAATAACACCATTTTTTTACTGCAGTAATTTTGCAGTGTAACTGCAGTTAGAGTGCAGTTATTCTGTATCCAAAATACCACAGTTGACTGCAGTTACTGCACTTTTACAGCAGTTTCAAAACGGCAAGCTATTTTTGTAAGGGCGGGAAGGCAGTAGTACAGTAATGTAATGATAATGTATCAGGTGGCATTCATATAGGCCAGGGAATTTGAATCCTTATTCAATGTGTCAGAGAGGCATGTTTATTGTACATAATGTATTTCTATCTGAACGTTCCATAATAATATGTTTCGTTGTCACATACAGCGAAATGTGTTGTTTTACAGGGTCAGCCATAGTAGTATGGCACCCCTGGAGCAAATTAGGGCTAAGTGCCTTGTTCAAGGACACATGGACATCTTTTTCACCTTGACTGGTCGGGTATTTGAACCAGTGACCTTTCAGTTACTGGCCCAATGCTCCAACCGCTGGACTACCTGCCACCCTTTAATGTTGTGCCCTACTGAATGCCTGTGTCAAAGGAGAATAATAAAAGGCCAGTAGTGTGTGAGCATAGTATTTATTTGTATAAATGTGTATTGTATCTACAGGTGTTACAATCATGCTGCATAGAGGTGGAAATGGGGGGGGGGGGGGGGGGGGGGGGGGGGGGGGGGTGAATAGTGGAGGAAAAATGTATATTGCACATGTAATTCATGTCTTCATGTGGTGTTACTCTCTTTGCAGTTGGATGCTCTGGCCAGAGAATTCGAGAAGAGAAAGTAACCTATCAACTGTGGTTGACTTAAATCCTTCCTTGTCTATCTGTTTATTTCATATGACCTCTATTCTAATCTTATGTCCTTTGATCCAATTTCGTGGTTTATCCATTTTGATAATAATGTAGCATCACTCCTTTACCCTTGCACCCTCTTTATTGTCCCTTTTTTCTGCTGTAGACTCAATTACAGATGTAACATCATACACATGCCATTTCCTGTAATAAAGTATCTATTTTGTTATTAATGTCTTCATCTTTGTCCTCTTCAATTGATTTGATTCAAATAAAATAATAGGTGTGGTCCTCTGTAGCTCAATTGGTAGAGCATGGCGCTTGTAACGCCAGGGTAGTGGGTTCGATCCCCGGGACCACCCATACGTAAAAATTAATGCACACATGACTGTAAGTCGCTTTGGATAAAAGCGTCTGCTAAATGGCATAATATATTATATTACTGAACAAAAATATAAACGCACCATGCAAAGTGTTGGTCCCATGTTTCATGAGCTGAAATAAAAGATCCCAGAAATTTTCCACACAAACAAAAAGCTTATTTCACTAAAATGTTGTGCACAAATTGGTTTACTTCCCTGTTAGTGAGCATTTCTCCTTTGCCAAGATAATCCATCCACCTGACAGGTGTGGCATATCAAAAAGCTGATTAAACAGCATGATCATTACACAGGTGCACCTTGTGCTTGGGAAAATAAAAGGCCTCTCTAAAATGTGCAATTTTGTCACACAACACAATGCCACAGATGTCTGGAGTTTTGAGGGAGTGTGCAATTGGCATGCTGACTGCCGGAATGTCCACCAGAGCTGTTGCCAGAGAATTGAAAGTTCATATCTCCACCATAAGGAACCGCCAATGTCTTTTTAGAGAATTTGGCAGTACGTCCAACCGGCCTCACAACTGAAGACCACGGGATTGGGGTGCTGAGGAGTATTTCTGTCTGTAATAAAGCCCTTTTGTGGGGAAAAACTCATTCTGATTGGCTGGGCCTGGCTCCCCATGGATCAGCCTAGCTCCAACGTGGGTGGGCCTATGGCCTCCCAGACCCACCATTGCTGCGCCCCTGCCCAGTGATGTGAAATCCATAGATTAGGCCTTATTGAATTTACTTAAATTAACTGATTTCCTTATATGAACTGTAACTCAGTAAACATTTGGAAATTGTTGCATGTTGCGTCTATATTTTTGTTCAGTATATATAGAGTAACAATACCTCTTTTGAAAACATGATTTGAAAATACAAATGAGCAGAAAAACATAAACAATAGAGTAAAAGGTTCTCAGTTATTATATTCAAGTTGAGCACACAGAATTCCAGTCAAACCAAAACTCTAACTTTACAGAAAGTAAAGAAGGTTCTCATGTTCTGCGAACATTTATCGACACATTGCGCATGCGCTGCTCAGATAGGAAGAAAGATGGAGGAGCGATGTATCTGTGCCCCGCTGCTAGCGGAGTCAGATACTGAAAATAACATTATTTTGACTCATAACGTTGCTTCTGTATCAGATGCTGACACAGTAATAAACACTAATAATACCAATAGTTCACAGATTGAAGGTGAGTTCATTAAGAACGTGAAATTACAGCGTCTGGTGAATTGATGCCCAGTTCGTAGCAAGCTAGCTAGCAATGCTGACGTTAGCTAAGGGCGTTCTCAAAGTTAGCGAGCTAGCTAGCTGTTAAATGTCGAATTAGGCACTTTAGCCTATGGTGAGATCAACTTTAACTAGCTAGTTATCCGATAGGACTACTTTCCGTCAGTTAACAAGCGTGTCTTTCCCATTTGAACGTCGTTTTGCGCATATCCTTGTAATCACTCTGCTATCTAACTATTAGCTATACGTTCGTTAGCTAGCTAGGACCCACTGGACTGGGAGGCCCTAAAATAGCTGCCATTGCATTGAAGCCAATTTGCTAGCACAATCCCCCCACTACAGTTGCTGTCACATTGGATGGGTTAGCACGAAATGATTAACTAGTTATTCAACTCCTATTCAATCAGAACCGGTGCATGGGTTAAGAAACTAGCTACTATACACAGCAAGGAAAACATTTTTTGTCTTGCCTGGGTCACCAGTCTTGAAATAGGGTATTGGCTAATTTATTCAAAACTTTGCTGCCTAACTAGCTAAACAATGTTACAGCGTGTTACCTCTTGTGAAACTTTTTGACTTGTGTAGTATTACATTCAATTACATTATTAGGCATAGCCTAGGCTATCTCTACACACAGTGCTCAATATGACTGTCTGGAGAGAGTATGCAATACCAATAGGTTGTCAACACCAACAAACAGCTGTTTTCATTCCATTGCTATACTTTTTAGAAGTTTACTTAATATAACTATATAACTTGTGCAGTAGTAAATCGTAGTAAGGGACTTTAATGCAATTTTTGTCAATTCACATCAGCCATATTGAAAATGCCCACACGCTGGTGTTCAAACCTTCTGAACATCAAGTTCTGTTCTATTTCTGCTATCTTGTTTACCATCACTAAAGGGTGCGGTTAACATTTGGTAAGTACTGTACTTTAAAGTAGTATATGTGTGTAGAAATCCAGTTTCTTTATTGGACATTTTGAAAGTGAAGGTTGTGGAAGCAATAGCCATTGTGAGTTCTAGAGGCAGCAATAGCACTAAGTGCACTTAGTTCATTCTCCATGAGATTGTAGATGGTTTTGAAACGAAGATTTATAACTCCAAGATTCAAGCACTGGCATGCATCAATGAACCTGGGATGTAGCCTGCCGGTGAATCATTGTTCTCCATGCAGTCATCTCAAAATTAGGAGAGCCAACAAGTGGGAAAGGAAACATAGCTGATTTAGAAATTAATATTTCAGCGTGTGAGAATGCTTTAGAGATGCTAGTGCAAATGACGTGTTGGTTTGACACAGGCATGAATTAATCATCATATTGTATGTCAGTGAGTGTAGTCAAGGCAAAATATGGGCACTTTATAATCAAGACAGATAAGTTATCAGTAACATTATGAGTAGTGTTTTTAAGGCCTACTTTACGGTTTATGATCGGGATACAGTTAACATTATTTGTGACCAGGCAGAGGAACAGTGCATTGTCCTCACCCAAAGTTACAGCCACATCTGTTAATTCAATTTCAGACCTTCCTTCTAAAGGAAGATGGTAGTGTACATTATACATTGTCTGCATGCAGTATTTTTTGCTTTCTGTTATTATATTTCAGAATGAGCCTTGACAACATTTGGAATGATCAATTCAGTAAAAGTGATAGTGAGTAAGAGTGTTATGGGTTCCGACAGCTGACACTTGGAATATATTATGTAGTGAAGAAGATACTGTACATGTAATGAACTGATCTCTCACCCTACGCAATCGACACAGTAGGTTAGACTCACTGATTTTCATACCAGTTTATCGCATTTTTTTATTTTATTTATTTTTTCACTTTATTTAACCAGGTAAACCAGTTGAGAACAAGTTCTCATTTACAACTGCGACCTGGCCAAGATAAAGCAAAGCAGTGCGATAAAAACAACACAGAGTTACATATGGGGTAAAACAAAACAAAGTCAAAAATACAACAGAAATACATATAATATACAGTGTGCAAATTTAGCAAGTTATGGAGGTAAGGCAATAAAATAGGCTATAGTGCAAAATAATTACAATTAGTATTAACACTGGAATGATAGATGTGCAAGAGATGATGTGCAAATAGAGATACTGGGGTACAAATGAGCAAAATAAATAACAATATATGGATGAGGTAGTTGGGCAGGCTAATTTCAGATGGGCTGTGTACAGGTGCAGTGATCAGTAAGGTGCTCTGACAACTGATGCTTAAAGTTAGTGAGGGAGATAAGTGTCTCCAGCTTAAGAGATTTTTGCAATTTGTTCCAGTCATTGGACGTCTCAACACTTGTGTTTAAAGGGGCACCACTTTCTAACCTCACATTCATGATCTCCAGCACCATATCAGTGTCTACATTATGTGGAAGCGGTGATTTGTCTACGTTCTGTTGTAAAAATTATCAGAAGAAAAGGTCCTAATGACCCCCGAATTACATTACAACTTATCAATCTAATATGAATCAAAGTAGTGCATTAGTGTTACTGTAGGTCACACATGAACATTTAAACATTAGTGGGGAAATTCACTTGCAACAAAGACTGACATTGATATATTGCAAGACTCAGGTTTGGCAGTCGTTGGGTCGAGAAAATTGTATTTGAGTAGTGAGGTTGGTTCTTTATAGTTGTACTTCATAGTTTCAGTCTCCCCACGAAATGGTCACATTTCCCTACTCTTACAACCTGCCCTCTCCATTCTGTCAATGTCCAAACATTTTCTCATTCATCTGCACACATGGACTAAGATGTTGACTTGAGTGAAGACCTATGGTCACTCTTAACTCAGATGCTGCTTTCAATAACCTCAATGTTTCATAGTTATTTTATTTTTGGCTTGATTATGTCCCAAGTTCTCTTTTGTGTTTTCTTTCAACTTTATTATCCATTTCACACAGTGATTCATGCAATCATAACATCAACAGATATGCTCTATTTTTCACAGCATGGTACACTTGAAAAAATATTTATCTTCTGTTTTGAGGGTTTCATTTGTCTTGTGAATATATTGCCTTTCATCCAGGCAGTTTTTTGTTCAGAATGTTCTCTGAACATTCAAAAATGTTAAAGGAGTGTTCTCTGTTCCCAGCAGACTTGGGAGAAAGTGACCTCCTGAAGGGTCTCTTCACGGACAGCCACTGCCATGTGTGTGAGGCTTCTCTGCTGTTCGTGTCCCAGAGGATTGCACACTACGAGGTATGTGAGTGTGTGTCCGTCTTCCACGTCTCAACACTTGTGTTTTAATTATGATAACCAATAACATTTAAACAGTACATTCCTTTAGGTCTCAACGCACTTGACATTGTTTGGGGGTAACTCGCTCCACCCGCCACCAATGTGTCTGTCTACCCACCAACCCAAGTTTAATTCAACAGAAACCATCTATCTTCCTCATCATATTTTAGTGTGTTCATTTTACGAGTTGAATGTCTTACTGTTAGCCAACTGTACAGTTTGAGCTCCTCCTCTGAATGCAGGGAAAGAAGCATGCCCAGAAAGTGAGACTCTACGTGCAGACCAAGAAAGATGAGAAACGAAGTAAAGACTTCCAGGTAAGACTTTGATGGAACAGATGCCTTGACACAATGTTATTTGCATTGGTGTGTGTGTGTACATCCAGCTTCTAGTAACGATTGTATGAACCCAATCACGATGAAATCACAACTAGGCATTGTGTTGACGTTCCAACCATCAGAATGCCATGATCGTAACCCTAAAGTGTTATAGTAAAGGGTCCAACACGATCCAGGTGAAATCGATAAGCTTCTAGAGAGCATTATTGTTACTTCCTCTGAAGGGTTAAGGACTATCATGTTATTGTTACCATTATGAGTGTGGGCGTCTGATGTTGTGTTGAGCAGAGAGGAATCACTATGGACAAGGACCGCTTCTGTGAGCTATGCAGCATGGTGTTCAGTTCTCCGGTGGTGGCCCGCTCCCACTACGACGGCAAGGTCCACGCCAAGAAGATGAGGAGAAAGGGCCTCTATCCCACCACCCAGCCAGCAGGTTAGTACTGCCTACGTATATCACACTATCTAATAGACAGGTTAGTAAAGCCTATATCACTGTCTAATAGACAGGTTAGTACTGCCTATAACACTCTGTCTAATAGACAGGTTAGTACTGCCTATATGATTATCTAATAGACAGGTTAGTACTGACTATATCACTCTGTCTAATAGAAAGGTTAGTACTGCCTATATGATTATCTAATAGACAGGTTAGTACTGACTATATCACTCTGTCTAATAGACAGGTTAGTACTGCCTATATCACTCTGTCTAATAGAAAGGTTAGTACTGCCTATATGATTATCTAATAGACAGGTTAGTACTGACTATATCACTCTGTCTAATAGACAGGTTAGTACTGCCTATATCACTCTGTCTAATAGACAGGTTAGTACAGCCTATATCACTCTGTCTAATAGACAGGTTAGTACTGACTATATCACTCTGTCTAATAGACAGGTTAGTACTACCTATATCACTCTGTCTAATAGACAGGTTAGTACTTCCTATATCACTCTGTCTAATAGACAGGTTAGTACTGACTATATCACTCTGTCTAATAGACAGGTTAGTACTTCCTATATCACTCTGTCTAATAGACAGGTTAGTACTGACTATATCACTCTGTCTAATAGACAGGTTAGTACTGCCTATATCACTCTGTCTAATAGAAAGGTTAGTACTGCCTATATGATTATCTAATAGACAGGTTAGTACTGACTATATCACTCTGTCTAATAGACAGGTTAGTACTGCCTATATCACTCTGTCTAATAGACAGGTTAGTACAGCCTATATCACTCTGTCTAATAGACAGGTTAGTACTGACTATATCACTCTGTCTAATAGACAGGTTAGTACTACCTATATCACTCTGTCTAATAGACAGGTGAGTACAGCCTATATCACTCTGTCTAATAGACAGGTTAGTACAGCATATAACACTCTGTCTAATAGACAGGTTAGTACAGCTTATATCACTCTGTCTAATAGACAGGTTAGTACAGCCTATATCACTCTGTCTAATAGAAAGGTTAGTACAAGCCTATATCACTCTGTCTGATAGACAGGTTAGTACTGCCTATATCACTCTGTCTAATATACAGGTTAGTACAGCCTATATGTCTTTCTAATAGACAGGTTAGTACTGCTTATATCACTCTGTCTAATAGACAGGTTAGTACTGCCTATATGACTGTCTAATAGAAAGGTTAGTACTGCCTATATGATTATCTAATAGACAGGTTAGTACAGCATATAACACTCTGTCTAATAGACAGGTTAGTACAGCTTATATCACTCTGTCTAATAGACAGGTTAGTACTGCCTATATCACTCTGTCTGATAGACAGGTTAGTACTGCCTATATCACTCTGTCTAATAGACAGGTTAGTACAGCATATAACACTCTGTCTAATAGACAGGTTAGTACAGCTTATATCACTCTGTCTAATAGACAGGTTAGTACAGCCTATATCACTCTGTCTAATAGAAAGGTTAGTACAAGCCTATATCACTCTGTCTAATAGACAGGTTAGTACTGCCTACGTATATCACACAATCTAATAGACAGGTTAGTACAGCCTATATCACTCTGTCTAATAGACAGATTAGTACAGCCTATATCACTCTGTCTAATAGAAAGGTTAGTACAAGCCTATATCACTCTGTCTAATAGACAGGTTAGTACTGCCTATATCACTCTGTCTAATAGACAGGTTAGTACAGCCTATATCACTCTGTCTAATAGACAGGTTAGTACAGCCTATATCACTCTGTCTAATAGACAGGTTAGTACTGCCTATATCACTCTGTCTAAGAGAAAGGTTAGTACTGCCCATATTATTATCTAATAGACAGGTTAGTACAGCCTATATCACACTGTCTAATAGACATTATGTTAATTCAGCCTATATCACTCTGTCTAATAGACAGGTTAGTACAGCCTATATCACTCTGTCTAATAGACAGGTTAGTACTGCCTATAACACTCTGTCTAATAGACAGGTTAGTACAGCCTATATGATTATCTAATAGACGGGTTAGTACAGCTTATATCACTCTGTCTAATAGACAGGTTAGTACTGACTATATCACTCTGTCTAATAGACATGTTAGTACAGCCTATATCACTCTGTCTAATAGACAGGTTAGTACTGCCTACGTATATCACTATCTAATAAACAGGTTAGTACAGCCTATATCACTCTGTCTAATAGACAGTTTAGTATAGTCTATATCACTCTGTCTAATAGACAGGTTAGTACAGCCTATCACTCTGTCTAATAGACAGGTTAGTACAGCCTATCACTCTGTCTAATAGACAGGTTAGTACAGCCTATCACTCTGTCTAATAGAAAGGTTAGTACAGCCTATATCACTCTGTCTAATAGACAGTTTAGTATAGTCTATATCACTCTGTCTAATAGACAGGTTAGTACAGCCTATCACTCTGTCTAATAGACAGGTTAGTACAGCCTATATGACTCTGTCTAATAGACAGGTTAGTACTGCCTATATCACTCTGTCTAATAGACAGGTTAGTACAGCCTATATCACTCTGTCTAATAGACAGGTTAGTACAGTCTATATCACTGTCTAATAGACAGGTTAGTACAGCCTATATCACTCTGTCTAATAGACAGGTTAGTACAGCCTATATCACTGTCTAATAGACAGGTTAGTACTTCCTATATCACTCTGTCTAATAGACAGGTTAGTACTGCCTATATGACTCTGTCTAATAGACAGGTTAGTACAGCCTATATCACTGTCTAATAGACAGGTTAGTACAGCCTATATCACTCTGTCTAATAGACAGGTTAGTACTGCCTATATCACTCTGTCTAATAGACAGGTTAGTACTGCCTATATCACTCTGTCTAATAGACAGGTTAGTACAGCCTATATCACTGTCTAATAGACAGGTTAGTACTTCCTATATCACTCTGTCTAATAGACAGGTTAGTACAGCCTATATGACTCTGTCTAATAGACAGGTTAGTACTTCCTATATCACTCTGTCTAATAGACAGGTTAGTACTGCCTATATGACTCTGTCTAATAGACAGGTTAGTACAGCCTATATCACTGACTAATAGACAGGTTAGTACAGCCTATATCACTCTGTCTAATAGACAGGTTAGTACAGCCTATATGACTCTGTCTAATAGACAGGTTAGTACAGCCTATATCACTGTCTAATAGACAGGTTAGTACTGCCTATATGACTCTGTCTAATAGACAAGTTAGTACTGCCTATATCACTCTGTCTAATAGACAGGTTAGTACTGCCTATATGACTCTGTCTAATAGACAGGTTAGTACTGCCTATATCACTCTGTCTAATAGACAGGTTAGTACAGCCTATATCACTCTGTCTAATAGACAGGTTAGTACAGCCTATATCACTCTGTCTAATAGACAGGTTAGTACAGACTATATAAATCTGTCTAATACAGGTTAGTACTGCCTATATGATTATCTAATAGACAGGTTAGTACTGACTATATCACTCTGTCTAATAGACAGGTTAGTACTGCCTATATGATTATCTAATAGACAGGTTAGTACTTCCTATATCACTCTGTATAATAGACAGTTTAGTACAGCCTATATCACTCTGTCTAATAGACATGTAAGTACTGTCTACGTATATCACTATCTAATAGACAGGTTAGTACAGCCTATATCACTCTGTCTAATAGACAGGTTAGTACAGCCTATAACACTGTCTAATAGACAGGTTAGTACAGCCTATATGACTATCTAATACACAGGTTAGTACAGCCTATATCACTCTGTCTAATAGACAGGTTAGTACAGCCTATATGTCTCTGTCTAATAGACAGGTTAGTACAGTCTATATCACACACTATCTAATAGACAGGTTAGTACAGCCTATATCACTCTGTATAATAGACAGTTTAGTACTGCCTATATCACTCTGTCTAATAGACAGGTTAGTACATCCTATATCACTCTGTCTAATAGACGGGTTAGTACAGCATATATCACTCTGTCTAATAGACAGGTTAGTACTGCCTATATCACTCTGTCTAATAGACAGGTTAGTACTGCCTATATCACTCTGTCTAATAGACAGGTTAGTACTGCCTATATCACTCTGTCTAATAGACAGGTTAGTACATCCTATATCACTCTGTCTAATAGACGGGTTAGTACAGCATATATCACTGTCTAATAGACAGGTTAGTACAGCTTATATCTCTCTGTCTAATAGACGGGTTAGTACAGCATATATCACTCTGTCTAATAGACAGGTTAGTACAGCCTATATCACTCTCTCTAATAGAAAGGTTAGTACTGCCTATATGATTATCTAATAGACAGGTTAGTACAGCCTATAACACTCTGTCTAATAGACAGGTTGGTACAGCATATATCACTCTGTCTAATAGACAGGTTAGTACGCCTATATCACTCTGTCTAATAGACAGGTTAGTACAGCCTATATGATTATCTAATAGACAGGTTAGTACATTCCTATATCACTCTGTCTAATAGACAGGTTGTAGTATCCTGTCAAATAGACGTTGTCCTAATGTCAGACAGGTTAGTACAGCCTATATGTTATCTAATAGACAGGTTAGTACTCCTATATCACACTTATAATAGACAGTTTAGTACAGCCTATATCACTCTGTTAATAGACAGTTTAGTACAGCCTATAATCACTGTCTAATAGACAGTTAGTACAGCTATATCCTTGTCTAATAGACAGGTTAGTACAGTCCTATATCACTAGTCTAATAGACAGGTTAGTACAGCCTATATCACTGTTAATAGAAAGTTAGTACGCCTATATCATTTCTAATAGACAGGTTAGTACTGACTATATCACTGTCTAATAGACAGGTTAGTACGCCTATATCACTCTGTCTAATAGACAGGTTAGTACAGCCTATATCACCTGTCTAATAGAAAGGTTAGTACTGCCTATATCATTATCTAATAGACAGGTAGTACAGCCTATATCACTTGTCTAATAGACAGGTTAGTACAGCCTATACACTGTCTAATAACAGGTTAGTACAGCCTATATCACTGTCTAATAGACAGGTTAGTACAGCCTATATCACTCTGTCTAATAGACAGGTTAGTACAGCCTATACACCTTCTAATAGACAGGTTAGTACAGCCTATAACACTGTCTAATAGACAGGTTAGTACAGCCTATATCACTCTGTCTAATAGACAGGTGAGTACAGCCTATATCACTCTGTCTAATAAAACAGGTTAGTACTGCCTATAACCTGTCTAATATACAGGTTAGTACAGCCTATATGTCTCTGTCTAATAGACGGGTTAGTACTGCCTATATCACCCTCTCTAATAGACAGGTTAGTACAGCCTCTATCACTCTGTCTACTAGACAGGTTAGTACTGCCTATAACACTGTCTAATAGACAGGTTAGTACAGCCTATATCACTCTGTCTAATAGACAGGTTAGTACTGCCTATATCACTCTGTCTAATATACAGGTTAGTACAGCCTATAACACTGTCTAATAGACAGGTTAGTACAGCCTATATCACTCTGTCTACTAGACAGGTTAGTACTGCCTATATCACTCTGTCTAATAGACAGGTTAGTACAGCCTATATCACTCTGTCTAATAGACAGGTTAGTACAGCCTATATCACTCTGTCTAATAGACAGGTTAGTACAGCCTATAACACTGTCTAATAGACAGGTTAGTACAGCCTATATCACTCTGTCTAATAGACAGGTTAGTACAGCCTATATCACTCTGTCTAATAGACAGGTGAGTACAGCATATATCACTCTGTCTAATAGAAAGGTTAGTACAGCCTATATCACTCTGTCTAATAGAAAGGTTAGTACAGCCTATATGATTATCTAATAGACAGTTTAGTACTGCCTATATCACTCTGTCTAATAGACAGGTTAGTACAGCCTATATGTCTCTGTCTAATAGACAGGTTAGTACTGCCTATATGATTATCTAATAGACAGGTTAGTACTTCCTATATCACTCTGTATAATAGACAGTTTAGTACAGCCTATATCACTGTCTAATAGACAGGTTAGTACAGCCTATATCACTATGTCTAATAGACAGGTTAGTACAGCCTATATCACTGTCTAATAGAAAGGTTAGTACTGCCTATATGATTATCTAATAGACAGGATAGTACTGACTATATCACTCTGTCTAATAGACAGGTTAGTACTAGCTATATCACTCTGTCTAATAGACAGGTTAGTACAGCCTATAACACTGTCTAATAGACAGGTTAGTACTGCCTACGTATATCACACAATCTAATAGATGGGTTAGTACAGCCTATATCACTCTGTCTAATAGACAGGTTAGTACAGCCTATATCACTCTGTCTAATAGACAGGTTAGTACAGCCTATAACACTGTCTAATAGACAGGTTAGTACAGCCTATAACACTGTCTAATATACAGGTTAGTACAGCCTATATCACTCTGTCTAATAGACAGGTTAGTACAGCCTATATCACTCTGTCTAATAGACAGGTTAGTACAGCCTATAACACTGTCTAATAGACAGGTTAGTACAGCCTATAACACTGTCTAATAGACAGGTTAGTACAGCCTATATCACTGTCTAATAGACAGGTTAGTACAGCCTATATCACTCTGTCTAATAGACAGGTTAGTACAGCCTATATCACTATGTCTAATAGACAGTTTAGTACAGTCTATATCACTCTGTCTAATAGACAGGTTAGTACAGCCTATATCACTCTGTCTAATAGACAGGTTAGTACTGCCTATATCACTCTGTCTAATAGACAGGTTAGTACAGCCTATATCACTATGTCTAATAGACAGGTTAGTACAGCCTATATCACTCTGTCTAATAGACAGGTTAGTACTGCCTATATCACTCTGTCTGATATACAGGTTAGTACAGCCTATATCACTCTGTCTAATAGACAGGTTAGTACTGCTTATATCACTCTGTCTAATAGACAGGTTAGTACAGCCTATATCACTCTGTCTAATAGACAGGTGAGTACAGCCTATATCACTCTGTCTAATAGAAAGGTTAGTACTGCCTATAACACTGTCTAATATACAGGTTAGTACAGCCTATATGTCTCTGTCTAATATACAGGTTAGTACTGCCTATATCACCCTCTCTAATAGACAGTTTAGTACAGTCTATATCACTTTGTCTAATAGACAGGTTAGTACTGCCTATATCACTCTGTCTAATAGAAAGGTTAGTACTGCCTATAACACTGTCTAATATACAGGTTAGTACAGCCTATATGTCTCTGTCTAATATACAGGTTAGTACAGCCTATATGTCTCTGTCTAATAGACGGGTTAGTACTGCCTATATCACCCTCTCTAATAGACAGTTTAGTACAGTCTATATCACTTTGTCTAATAGACAGGTTAGTACAGCCTATATCACTCTGTCTAATAGAAAGGTTAGTACTGCTATAATCACTCTGTCTAATAAAAGTTAGTACTCCTATATGATTATCTCATAGACAAGGGAGTACAGCCTACATATTCAACTATCTACTAACAGGTGAGTACAGCCGATATCACTATTCCTAATAGAAAGGAGGACAGCTATATCACCTGTCTAATAGAACAGGTTAGTACTTCGGCTATATCACTCTGTCTTAATAACAGTTTAGTCCAGCCTATATCACTCTGCTCTGTCCTAATAGACAGGTTAGTACAGCCTATAACACGTCTAACACAGGTTAGTACAGCCTATATCACTCGCCGCTACTAGACAGGTAGACTGCCTATAACCTGTCTATAGACGGTTAGACACCTATATCACTCCTGTCTAATAGACCAGGTTTAGTACAGCCCTATATCACTCTGTCTAATAGACAGGTTAGTACAGCCTATATCACTATGTCTAATAGACAGGTTAGTACTGCCTATATCACTCTGTCTAATAGACAGGTTAGTACAGCCTATATCACTCTGTCTAATAGACAGGTTAGTACAGCCTATATCACTCTGTCTAATAGACAGGTTAGTACAGCCTATAACACTGTCTAATAGACAGGTTAGTACAGCCTATATCACTCTGTCTAATAGACAGGTTAGTACAGCCTATATCACTATGTCTAATAGACAGGTGAGTACAGCCTATATCACTCTGTCTAATAGAAAGGTTAGTACTGCCTATAACACTCTGTCTAATAGAAAGGTTAGTACTGCCTATATGATTATCTAATAGACAGGTTAGTACTGACTATATCACTCTGTCTAATAGACAGGTTAGTACTGCCTATATCACTCTGTCTAATAGAAAGGTTAGTACTGCCTATATCACTCTGTCTAATAGACAGGTTAGTACTGCCTATATCACTCTGTCTAATAGAAAGGTTAGTACTGCCTATAACACTCTGTCTAATAGAAAGGTTAGTACTGCCTATATCACTCTGTCTAATAGAAAGGTTAGTACTGCCTATATCACTCTGTCTAATAGAAAGGTTAGTACTGCCTATATCACTCTGTCTAATAGACAGGTTAGTACAGCCTATATCACTCTGTCTAATAGAAAGGTTAGTACTGCCTATAACACTCTGTCTAATAGAAAGGTTAGTACTGCCTATATGATTATCTAATAGACAGGTTAGTACTGCCTATATCACTCTGTCTAATAGAAAGGTTAGTACTGCCTATATCACTCTGTCTAATAGACAGGTTAGTACTGACTATATCACTCTGTCTAATACACAGGTTAGTATTGCCTATATGACGGTAGTGTGTTCATTGTGTTAAAGTTTATTTCACTCTGCCTAATAGACAGGTTAGTACAAGTAATCTAATACTCTTATAGTCAGTGGTTAAAACTGAACCCACACATATCTCTTTTGCTATCAGACACTCTCTCTCAAAGGGGCCACGGGTTGGTCCTACCAGGCCCACTCCAGGCCTCTGCCACCGACCAGGGAATGGGCGAGGAGGGGGGGAAGGGACCCCAGAACACCTCAGAGACTGTGGACCTGAGTGACCCTAACAAGCACTGCCGCCTGTGTGCCGCCTCGTTCAACAACCCCCACATGGCCCAGCAGCACTACGCTGGCCGCAAGCACCAGAGGAACCACTCCCGCCAGCAGCTGCTCAAAGACCTGGGAGAAGACCCAGCACAAGGTACCCATGCCCTACGCTGTCAGTCTGTCTGTGGTCATGGACCGGTCAATGAAATGGGTGGAAAGGAAAGCATGCCAGTAAAGGAAAGGAAGCAATTGTCCGAGAAATTGGGCCAAGGCTTTTAACCCCTCAAATAGCTCTGTCTCCTCCCAAAATGGGTGTGTGTTGTGGGTTTCTGTCTCCTCTGAGGAGTAATTATACTATTCTGTCCACTTTTCCTCTGTCTGCAGCCAACTCCTTTACATGTCCGGTGTGTAACATTAAGCTTGACTCTGTGGAGATGTACCACGCTCACATGCAAGGAAACAAGCACCAGATCAAGTAAGAGGACAACCACATTCATTTTGACCTCATACATTTTGTTCACTTTGTTTCCCCAAAACAGATCATTTTCACTATAAGTTATCATCTCTGCACTATGTCAAAATATGTAACCCTTTGGCTCTCACCCTGTGCCCCAACAGAGAGAAGAAGGTTGTTGACCTATGCAAGTCTCAGAAGAAGGTGTATGATTCATTCGCAGATGAATTGGCTGACTACATCCACGTGCAGAAGGCCCGCGGGATAGCCCCAAAAACCAGCTTCGGGGCTACCGAGGAAGAGGAAGAGGGAGAAGGAGAAGGAGCGAACCTTGGCAAGGTTGACAGTCAGAATAAAACCACCTTGGGCATTCCTCCTTCTTCCCGCTCTCCTCTTCCTCTCACCTCTCTGCATCCTGCTTCTACCTTTTATCCTCCTCCCCTTTGGTGCCCGCCCTATCAGGCTCCTCCCACTCACTTTGGGTTCAGGGGGAGCGCCTATGAGCAGACAGCCTGGGGCCACACTTTCCCTCAGCCCTTCCTCCCCGGATCTGCTCCAGCAGGCTTTATTGGCTGGCCTAAAGCCAGGGGGAGGGGCAAGGAATGTTCAAGCTCTTCCTCTTCCTACACAAGGTCCTCATCTTCCTACAGCAGCAGCAGTGACAGTAGTGACAGCAGTGACAGTGACTACAGGCACAGAGAGAGGAAGAAGAGGAAGATGAGGAAGGAGAGAGGGAGGAGGGCGAGAGAGGAGGACTCGGAGGAGAGGAAGAGGAGGAGGAGAGGGAAGAATATAAGAGACGACGACACAGAAGGGAGAAGAGGAAGAGAGCATGACGAAGAAGCGGAGGAAGAGAGGAGGAGGAGGAGGAGGAGGAGGAGGAGAAAAAGACTGCACTATAGTAGCAGGAGTCACAGGGAGGGACACAGGGCAAAGAAACGCCGGGAAGAGGAGGAGGAGGAAGAAGAAGAAGAAGAAGGAAGGAAGCAGGAGAAAGAAGAGAGTACAGAGGAAAGGGTGGGAGGAGAAGGAGAGGAGAAGGAGGTGCATATTCAGGCTGAGATTCAGGAAGAGATGGAAGAGAGGGAACAGGCCAAGGAGACTAAGGCCAAACACAGGAAAGACAAGAAGAAGACGAAGGAGAAAGTGGACACCAGGACAGAGGAGGAAAAGCTATGGGATGAGTCCATCATAGGCTTGTGATGCAGAGACCCTCCTGGAACGCACCATCTGAAGGCTAAAGCCAGGAACAAACTCAATGCAAATATGTCTAGTGACATGATAAAAAGCAGACAGTTGATGAACGTGAACAAAAGCAACCAAGTTCCACGTGCTTCCCAAACTTTGTAAAGCAAAGTAGGCTCACATGAAGAAAAGTTACCGTTCCCTTTGCCATCACAATTTGCAGCAAACAAGCTCCCATGTTCTTGTTTTTTTATGTTCACCAACTGTCAGCTCTTGTTGATGTCACTAGATGTCTTAACGCGTTAAGTATGTTCCAGGTTTTACAGCTGTCGAGCCGGACATTCCAGACGTCATAAAAAGGAAACGGCAACAACATTGGCTTACGACGACTGACTTTACACAGTCATGACACAAGCTGTAGTGTAGTTATGCTAGCTGGCTAGCCATAAGCTTAGTGTAAAATAAGGGTTTGTGTCATGAACGTAACATAGTTTATTCACATCAGCTGCCATGACTGTTTATTACGTCTGCTATAACATGCTTCTGACAGAGTGATGATGGGCGTTCAAGGAATATGTCAGGTTGTCGGCAACCTCAACACACAACTCTATTGCACGTTTGATCCGTTCTGTCGGCAAGACCCATTTTGAAGTAACAGAGCTCCCTTCACAGCCCAAAATAATATAATGTTGCAATGACATTAAAGGCCCCGTGCAGTCATAAACGTGATTTTCCTGTGTTTTATATAGGGTTACAAAGGGAGGGTAGATTACTAGAAACGTTTTAAGTTTACCGGTTAAATACCATAATTTTGGTACTGAATCTTTCAAGGGTTTTATGTAATCTATCACAAAACATCTGTTGACCCATTTGGGTACTTCAGATTATCACAGGTGTCTGTAATAATCTCTGGACCTCTGTGTGGCCTTATCACATGTAAAATATATGAAATAATTAAATAATATAAAACATTTAAATAGACTGAAAAAGCTGTAAATAATTATCCTAAATATAAACCATCAACTTAGTGAATACCGTTGGTGTTTATTATGAGGGTTTCAGCATGATATTCATTTATTTTACTATGTAATTATTTGCTGTCAATGTTTTGGTGTCAAACTGGTGGCAGTTGTGAAAAAAGTAAATAGTTGGAAGAGTTAATTGAAAATAATGCCATTGTTGATTAGATGCTTTTTTTTCATTAATTAGGCTATTTTCTCTTGAACCATATGGTCTATCTACTAGAAACTCATGGGCAATATGGACACAGATATAATAAATGAATACATACAGTGGGGAGAACAAGTATTTGATACACTGCCGATTTTGCAGGTTTTCCTACTTAAAGCATGTAGAGGTCTGTAATTTTTATCATAGGTACACTTCAACTGTGAGAGACGGAATCTAAAACAAAAATCCCGAAAATTACATTGTATGATTTTTAAGTAATTAATTTGCATTTTATTGCATGACATAAGTATTTGATACATCAGAAAAGCAGAACTTTAATATTTGGTACAGAAACCTTTTGTTTGCAATTAGAGATCATACGTTTCCTGTAGGTCTTGAACAGGTTTGCACACACTGCAGCAGGGATTTTGGCCCACTCCTCCATACAGACCTTCTCCAGATCCTTCAGGTTTCGGGGCTGTCGCTGGGCAATACGGACTTTCAGCTCCCTCCAAAGATTTTCTATTGGGTTCAGGTCTGGAGACTGGCTAGGCCACTCCAGGACCTTGAGATGCTTCTTACGGAGCCACTCCTTAGTTGCCCTGGCTGTGTGTTTCAGGTCGTTGTCATGCTGGAAGACCCAGCCACGACCCATCTTCAATACTCTTACTGAGGGAAGGAGGTTGTTGGCCAAGATCTCGCGATACATGGCCCCATCCATCCTCCCCTCAATACGGTGCAGTCGTCCTGTCCCCTTTGCAGAAAAGCATCCCCAAAGAATGATGTTTCCACCTCCATGCTTCACGGTTGGGATGGTGTTCTTGGGGTTGTACTCATCCTTCTTCTTCCTCCAAACACGGCGAGTGGCGTTTAGACCAAAAAGCTATATTTTTGTCTCATCAGACCACATGACCTTCTCCCATTCCTCCTCTGGATCATCCAGATGGTCATTGGCAAACTTCAGACGGGCCTGGACATGCGCTGGCTTGAGCAGGGGGACCTTGCGTGCGCTGCAGGATTTTAATCCATGACGGCGTAGTGTGTTACTAATGGTTTTCTTTGAGACTGTGATCCCAGCTCTCTTCAGGTCATTGACCTGGTCCTGCTGTGTAGTTCTGGGCTGATCCCTCACCTTCCTCATGATCATTGATGTATCACGAGGTGAGATCTTGCATGGAGCCCCAGACCGAGGATGATTGACCGTCATCTTGAACTTCTTCCATTTTCTAATAATTGCGCCAACAGTTGTTGCCTTCTCACCAAGCTGCTTGCCTATTGTCCTGTAGCCCATCCCAGCCTTGTGCAGGTCTACCATTTTATCCCTAATGTCCTTACACAGCTCTCTGGTCTTGGCCATTGTGGAGAGGTTGGAGTCTGTTTGATTGAGTGTGTGGACAGGTGTCTTTTATACAGGTAACGAGTTCAAACAGGTGCAGTTAATACAGGTAATGAGTGGAGAACAGGAGGGCTTCTTAAAGAAAAACTAACAGGTCTGTGAGAGCCGGAATTCTTACTGGTTGGTAGGTGATCAAATACTTATGTCATGCAATACAATGCAAATTAATTACTTAAAAATCATACAATGTGATTTTCCGGATTTTTGTTTTAGATTCCGTCTCTCACAGTTGAAGTGTACCTATGATAAAAATGACAGACCTCTACATGCTTTGTAAGTAGGAAAACCTGCAAAATCGGCAGTGTATCAAATACTTGTTCTCCCCACTGTATATATGAATACATTTTCTAAAAGTTATTCAAGTATAAATTACAATTTTCAGTTAATTACCAAAATCACTGAAAATTCCTGTAACTTTAGTAAATTACCGGTAGCTTTGCAACCTTATTTTTATATACATTTCCACACTATCAACTTGGAAAAATACTGTGAAATTGTGAAAATGATGCCCTTTTAGTGTAAGAGCTGTTTGAAAAGACCGCCTGAAATGTCATCCTGTTTTGGTGGAATGGAGTTTTGGCCTACCTGGTGACATCACCAGGTGGTAAATTAGTTGATTGACCAATAAGAAAGACAGTTCCAAACCTCTCTGCCAATAACAGCTAGTTTTCCGTTTTCCCCACCCCACTCAGGCCACTCCCAGACAGTCCTAGCAAAATTCTTACTTTTAATTGAAAACAATCACAGTAAGGTACTTAATTGTTACCCAGAAATGTTTTGATAATGAGATAAAAACGGCTGCATTGGGCCTTTAAACACATGTACTTTGAAGACACTTTGTAGGTTAGAATTCCAAACAGGTGTTTCAGCAGGGGTATATTCATTACACCGATTCTGTTGCAAAACATGTTTGCAACAGAAACGGTTTACTCCAAACGGTTTCTATTGGACAAATTCAGGTAGGTCCCTCTCCGTTTTGTTGGGTTCTTAAACGATTTACGTTGCAAGACGTAATGAATGCACCTCAGATCTGAGTCTGAATGGCATATGATCTCCCTCTACCCAGCATGTGTAGTGCCTTCAGAAAGTATTAATACCCCTTGACTTATTCCACATTTTGTTGTCTTACAGCCTGAATTCAAAATTAATTAAATTGATTTATTTTCTCACCCATCTACACACAATACCCTATAATGACAAAGTGAAAACATGTTTAGACATTTAAGCAAATTTATTGAAAATTAAATACAGAAATATCTAATTTACATAAGTATTTCACAGTCCGAATTGAGCTCAGGTGCATCCAATTTATTTTGATCATCATTGAGATGTCACTACAAGGGGAGAGAGCTTGGCTTTCGGTTGATGGTTGGAGAGAGTCCTCTGAGACATGCAGCCCTGGGGGGAAAAGTTTTAATGAAAGAAGAGAAGCATGGAGAGGCCAGAGATAGCCAGACTTGTAATTTGGGCTGAGGAACAGAAGTTGGGTTTTGGAGAAAAGCCATCAGCGCGTGCTCTGCAAGCAATACAGCAGATGACGGCACGGCAAGAGCGTGGTGAATGGATAGACGTGGCTATGGACAGAGAGGAAGAAGGAGAAGAGCCGAGTGTAGAGGGAAGATGTGTGTTGAGGAAGAATGGCGCCAAGTACAAACCGTGTTCTGCTGTCTCTGTTGGGTACTGTTAAATCGGTGAAGGTAACTCGAAGTGGACTTATGATTTTCTGTGTTTCTTCCGTCCAGAGGGAGTGGGCGCTTCACGTCACGTGACTAGGGTCAAGACCTGTGACTTGCTTTGCTCTCTGGAGCAGGGTGCCTTTGAAAGGAGTGATTACTGGGGTGGCGTTGAGGTGGAGCAACTGAAATGGAAAATTCCCTGTTTCTGTGATGCCCGCTGTGTAATAAAAGGATATGTCAGTTATCCAGGGAGAGCTCTTGTGCCAAACTCATTAAGGTGTTTCAGGTGCCAAGATTATGGTCATGTTACAGCAGTGTGTAGGAGGGAGATTCCTTGATGTGAGAAGTGTGCAGGAGGGCACGGGACAAAGGAATGTGTAGTATCGGTGGAAAAAATGTGTAGTATCTGTCAATTGTGGGGTGTCCATGTTTCTGGCGATCAGAAGTGCCCGATGCGAGAGAGACAGGTTGCCAGAAATAGATGTTGTGGTGGCAGCTGCAGAGAAGTACTTGGGTGTATAATGTTTTACTGCAGAAGAGTTACAAGGTGTGTTGAACGAAAGATGATAAAGAATATATTAAATAGTTGTATATACAGTGAGCTCCAAAAGTATTAGGACAGTGACACATTTTTGGCTGTTTTTGCTCTGTACTCCAGCACTTTGGATTTGAAGACTGTTAGCATTAATTTTAGGGTATTTTCATCCATGTCGGGTGACCCGTTTAGAAATTACAGCACTTTCTGTACATAGTCCCCCCATTTTAGGGGACCAAAA